CAATTGATTGTACAATGTGAACCATGCATTGGCATGATAACATGCATTATCACAATATTGTATCATATTGCACTTGAAACAAACCACGGGTGAACAAACAATTGTCTGAAATGTTCAGTAATCCTTGGCAAAAGTTCTTCACCCAGTCTTGATTAAATGGTACAAGTAATGGCAGCTAAAACTTGAAAAGGCTCACTTGTCATTTAAATTTAAATAAAATTTGTCATGAGAGCTTAACTCAACAAACTTTCCCTTCAATGATGTTAAAACTCCAGTACTGAACAAATTGTGAAAATATGTTACAATTTCTTGGCTAATTTGTAACAATGCTCAAATTTCAAAACACCAAATGCTGATACAATTATCAGCACTTGCAAATGATTTCACTTAATTGATATCGTCAATGTTTCAGTATAACGAGTCATAAAGATCAGCATGATAATCTCACATCAGACTGAAGTAATTTCTTAAAATAATGCACGCTTGACAGATGTTCATGGACAAATGATTGATAATTCAGATAATATCTTGGAATAAAACAAAGTATAACAAATAAGATAGTAAAAATAAATATGTACTACATACAAATAAACTGTAATGCTTAAGTTGAGATGATGTTAAAATGGATTAAACATGATTCTCATGACTGATTAAATCAGCATAAAACAAAACACAAAGGTAAAACAAACAAATCATACACTGTTGTTATTCTCATACAACCTGTTTCTGAAACTTAAGTAACCATCCACATGTTGCCCCAAATCAATATTTTACGAGGAAAAGAGTTTTTGTGATCTAAATACACAAATATCTTTAATTATCACTGAAATACTGTAACAATCAATTGAATGTTGAATTCTGCTTTTTATGTAAATACCCCCAACCCCCCAAAACAACAAAAGATATAATTACCCCCGAATGATAATGCCAATACTTCCTGTTTCTTGCCAATAAGCTGTCATAGACTTTACTATCTCACAGCTGGGTGCCATGGAAAAATAATACACAAATGTACAGTTTCAGTACACAGATATTTTGACAAAATATAGGTAGATGCTAAAGATGGGAAACGTGCTGATTGTTATTACCATGGAATTGTGGATGGAACATGAGGTTCAGCATCTTGAGATACAGTGCCCTTGTTAAAGGAAACTTGCAACATTATAAGATTCACATGTCCTCGTACCCTGGTAGCAAGAATATATTATAGAAACATCAAAGTATGTCTTCAATGGTTTGATAATTGGTATCAAGCTAGATGGGGTGCATTCTCTCGCATAATTGATGGAACTATAGAAGTCTACAGATACAGAAGATATGTATACTGTGTAAGGTGATGTGTCTTGATCTTGTCAAGAGATTATCATTTTTTGTTATAAATTATTAGTCAGCACTTTTGTTTGAATCCCCAACCCCCTCCCCTATAATCATTGTGTTAGGCTAACACAGTAAACCAGTCAAAGAGATTGTACAACCATACTGATACGACAAAAGTACAATGTGAAAATTGCCTTTCAATGCAGTAACTTGTGACCAAGAATTATACCACAAGTGTATCAGAGACTCGAACCTTATTGTAACATACAAACAGAGAATGACATTTCTAAAAGGAAGGTAGGTCCACATGAACATTTTAAAGGGTACCAATAACAATGAAAATCAGTGAACAAAAACACAAATGGGATTTCTGAAATCCATGAAAATTAAGTACAAATAAAGAGAAAAAAGGATTTCAGAGACTTCAGATCAAACATGAATACACATAACTAAAAAACCCTTACCTTCTTGATGCTAAATGTCAAAATATATATACTTCAAAAAGAAGTCCAAGAATGTCTGACTTTTGTTAATCTATAGTTAATCAGCAATGGCAATCAGATCAACTATAGTCACATCAAATATTGGGCATTCTTTAAATTAGTTTGAGTAATATATATAAAGGTATGTGTTCATCAATATATTTGTTAGTCAGGATGATTTCTATAGCAGATTAAGAGGATTCACTATACTTTACATTCATCTTGTAACCAGGACATTTCAACACGCAAGGGAGAATTGTAAGCATCACTCATTCAGAAGGATACTCAAACAATATATATGTAATTAATGGTCTAGGTTATCAGTGTCTCAAGACAAGGATCCATTTGTGTGTTTCCCCTGTCTACAGTTCAAAATACCTGTAATATTCAGTCAAATCTTCACCTTTTGTTTCCAGTGAATAATGCCTCTTTCATTATGTAAAATACACCCTGGACCATTTGCTTGCAAAGCTTTGTTTCAAACGTGATCATCATCATCAATCTAGTCCATGAGCATGGTAAATGTCATTATATTTAGTGTTTTTTGTTGTTGATTGGGCCATTAAAATAAGAAAGAAGTTCATTTAAGTTCAAAGACAAAGCTATGGTAGCCAATGGATCCATGTTATTCACCATTGGAGAATGGAGACATCTGGCACTGGATAATCGAGAATGTAAAACACTGGTTCACACAGACATGTGTAACTAACTCGATCACTTGATTGTTTGCACCAACACATTGCAAACCAATCAGTTGACAGATAATTTAGAAGGTCAAGGCAATACTCCCACTAACACGGTAAACACAGTGATGGAAGACCACACACTCCACCAAACCATTGTCCTTGTTCATAAAACATACCAGTAATGAAGTTCACTTTATACAACATGTTTGGGTCATTGAAATCTATTTCACATGAGCTTGCATGATAAGGCTATGAAAAGTTCATTCTCTTTTCAAAAACTCTCGAGCATCAACAAAACACCCTACATGGAAGCATTATATTTCCTTCAAACAAAAATATAAATTTCTTACTGAACATTTTCACCTAAAGATGATATGCAAAAATCATATTTGCAAGCCTAAACTGACTACACATTACTCTACATGCTCTGTTTCACTAAATAAAGCTAGATCTAGCATCTACCATGTCAACTGCAAATTTTTTCAGCTGTTCAGAATCCTTTTCCCCTTGGTGCCATTTATTCTTGGTATGGAAATTACCTCAATATTTCATGACATACTTTGAGCAGTGATATATACGTGATCTAAAGCTATGAAAAGTGAGTTTAGTTTTACGCCGCACTCAGCAATATTCCAGCTATATGGCGGAGCTATGAAAAGAATGAAACAGGTTTATAACATAGCAAATGCTTTCTGGAATTATAACAAACTTAAAAAGAGGCTTAACTAAAACAATGTAAAAGTCTAACAACACAACTGGCATTGCTAATATCAACATAAAGCTCAGATTCATTGCACATTCTTGTAACAAGTCAATATCCTCAGTGTTTGAGCCTGTGACCTCCTGTAGTTGCTGTCCTCAACTCTTGATGCATACACAAAGTGACATCAAATCTTGACTTAATTACGTAAATAAAGAATATAGAACAGAACCCATGCAGGCTTAATGGCGCCAAGAAATTTAAGGAATCAATGTTAACATTTCAAGCTGAACACTCATTCAAATATACATACATAAGCTGTTATTTGAAGTGGCCATATTTCCTTTTAAACTGATATCCTTGTGTTGTGGTTCTGACAATTTTAAACATAAATATGAAATCTCATTTTAAAAATTACCCCAACACACTGTGAAAATCACATTTGTCCTGTATTGTATACAAATGTTACAGGTATTATCAGCTGAATAAGAAAACTGAATTTTTATCATGTATATTAGAATCTATTTTCTTCTTCAACACTATATTCCTTTTATCTTCCTTCTGCCACAAATCTTTCTACCACATATGTATGTCACCCAACATATTCATTCCTGACTCAACATGAAATATTTATCACCTTAGTAAAACACTGACAAAAACACCTAGGTGTGCTGAAACAGATTTCAACAAACCTTTTGATAGAGCAAAATTAGCACCTGTACATAGTCTGTAAATACTGTTCAAACAACATCTCAATTTCTGACATAAAAACAATAGACACTCCCACCCTCACCAGATCTGATGATCTGTGCTTGTGCCCCAAAAAGCATTAAACACTAACTATACTCCTTAAAAACAGAATTAAGGACCATCCAGTTCTTTCATATTAATGTTAATTATCTGTCATACCTTGAAAGATTATTCATGGTAATATGAAAGAATTGTGGTCTTTAACTTTTGTGTAGCATACACACAGATGCCTCCAACATCAGGTCCCAGTCTAAATAAACTATCCATTACATTACACCACTATACTGAGACTAACAAACCCTAGTAGAAGGTCCCAACATTGCAACAGTAGCATGGTCAATCATCAGATCAGAGAGTCTGATTGAATAAATAGCTAACATTTGCAATGCATAAAGTGTCCATCTCAATTAACAAGTTAAAAATCTGGCCTGGAAGGTTGTAAAATATATCCATCATAAAGGACAGACATTTGTGCTTGATTAGATAAGCTTGTGTGGCAGCTAAAGCTATTCCATGACCAGCAGAGACTTGTATTATGATGAACATGTTTCCAAAAAGCAGAATTAATAAACATGTGTTCAGCTGTTGTTTAATACCTTGGTTCACTAAAAGGGAATTTCCTTCAGAAGCAGCATGATCCCGTACCTTTGAGATTCAAGCATTTACAAGTGACATGTCCAACAACAGAGGTGAAGAGCTGTAACCAGGCAAACATGGTACTATGAGGTACCACAATATTACATTCCATTATCAAAGGGACAGGAATCAAATAATTTTAAGCCAAAATGGCCAACTAATGTTTCAGTGGTCTGTATTCTTGTACATAAAATCAGAAAATGTTATTTCAAACTTTTCTTCATGCCATTAAGTAACATGAACTCATGATTCCATGACTTGACAACACATTTGTGTGATGCCCTGAACTTAAATGAATTGTAACACAGGAGAAAACAGTTGAAAGACCTGATGCTGGTAAGCAACATTGAACAATGATCAGGATGAAGATGTATCTGTTTACAATTTGTACCCATGCATGGACTACATACCTTTGTCATGCATGAGAACTTCTGCAGGAAAAAATGTTTGGTGGATTAACCATGATAAGCACAATCTACCACACCCCTTCTGTCCTTGCAATCTCATCAAGATTTAATTTTTGAGTAAAATTGATATTTTATACTTATCCTGACTCATGCTCTTTTGCTTGTCTCCTTCCTCTTGCTAACATAGTGGAACACTTGTATCTCCCTAATTGAAGTTCCCTTCAATGTAAAATCACTAATTAGTACACCACGAAGTTACCTCCCTTCCACAAGCTGCTGAACCAGGGCTTCACCTCTACCCATGTGCCTCACTCTCCCTCATATACTGAGCCCAACATTTGAATTTACAGGAAATCCAAAGTGTTATTTGGGAGGATGGGAGGGTTGATTCATGAGTCAGGATAAGTATAAAATATCAATTTTACTCAAAAAATTACATATTTTTCCTTATCCTGACTCATGCTCTTTTTGCTTGTAGAATCCAACAGAGCCGGAGGTGGGAATATATAATACTTTGGATTTTAATAATTAGTGATTTGAACTGTGATGATTGTAATAACCCTATGGGAACTTCATAAAGGCATTGAACTGATGAATTCTGCTGCCAGCTTATCAGCTGCCATATAGAGGTTATTACAATGTACTTATTATGATAAGTATATATAATATTAATACAATGCTTAAGACTAATAGACTTAAGCTTGTTAATATGCTAGTATAAACTCCTTAGAGTTTGTTAGCTAAAAAATACTTTAAGATATAAACATAGCACTAAGCTTAAAATATGATTAATTTTAAGCTAATTATATAATAACAAACCCTCTTTAGGGTTTGTTAGTTAAAATATTTATATGATATAGACAGTGCTGAGCTTAAGATATGAATAAGCTTAGCTATATATATAACAGCAAACTTTGTAGAGTTTGTTAGCTAATACATTTTTACAATATGAGTATAGTATTGTGCTTAAGATATAATTATCTTAAGCTACATATATAATAGCCAAACTTAGTAGAGTTTGTTAGCTAATATATTTTTACAATATGAGTATAATACTGTGCTTAAGATATAATTAACTTAAGCTACATATATAATAGCCAAACTTAGTATAGTTTGTTAGCTAATATATTTTACAATATGAGTATAGTACTGTGCTTAAGATATAATTAACTTAAGCTACATATATAATAGCCAAACTTAGTAAAGTTTGTTAGCTAATATATTTTACAATATGAGTATAGTACTGTGCTTAAGATATAATTAACTTAAGCTACATATACAATAGCCAAAAACTCTGTAGAGCTTATTAGCTAATAGATTTATAATGTAACCATAGTACTAAGCTTAAGATATGATTAGACTTAAGCTAAATGTATATAGCAAAAACTCCTTAGAGTTTATTAACTAATATACTTTTATGTTATAAACATAGTACTGAGCTTAAGATATGATTAAACTTAAGCTATATATATATAATAGTAAAACTCCGTAGAGTTTGATAGCTAATACATTTTATTATGTTGATTTAGACCTAGTATTGAGCTTAAGATATGAAGTAAACCTTAAGCTAAATATATAATAGCAAAAAACCTTTTAGAGTTTTAATAGCTAATATACTTATATGGTATCAACATAGTATTGAGCTTAAGATATGAAGAAACCTTAAGCTACATATGTATAGCAAAAACTCCGTAGAGTTTGTTAGCTAATACATGATATAATGTAACCATAAAGCTTAAAATATGATGAAAACTTAAGCCCAATATATAATAGCAAAAAACTCTTTTAGAGTTTTGATAGCTAATATACCTATATGCTATAAACATAGTACTGCGCTTAAGATATGAATAAGCTTAAGTTACATATATAATAGCAAAAAACTCCATAGAGTTTGTTAGCTAATACATGTTATAATGTAACCATATTGCTTAAGATATGATGAAACTTAAGCCAAATAGCAAAAGCTCTTTAGAATTTGTTAGCTAATATAGTTATATGATATAAACATAGTACTGAGCTTAAGATATGAATGAGCTTAAGCTACCTATATAATAGCAAAACTCCGTAGAGTTTGTTAGCTAATGTATTTTTACAATATGAGTATAGTACTATGCTTAAAATATACTTGACTTAAGCTACGTATATAATAGCCAAAAAAAAACTCTGTAGAGTTTGTTAGCTAATGCATTTATCATGTAACCACTGTGATGATAAAAAACGAGCTTAAGCAAATTATATATAGCATGAAGCTATTTAGTACTGTTATAAGATAAGTAAAAATCTGTAAGATTGACTTATCTTCTCCGAGGAACTGTCAACTGTTGTGCAAGGACCATGGGATCAAATTGGTGGATACCTGAGATGTCCTCGGTGGTGATATCTCTCAGATAATGGTTGGCAACCACCATATCGGATCTACAGTAATAAACCCTTCATTATTTCAAATAACATTTGTGTAGATGAAATTGTAGAAGTTAGCGCTCTAATATCAAGAGTATTAAAGCTCATGGAGGGTCGGATTAGGTCCATCTGTCTTGTATGCACGTAGTATGACAGTTCTGATCCAAACGGAGATATAGTACGTGAGACTACACTCTGCGTAAGTTGATGATAGAGGAAAAAAAATCTGTTGTATTTTTCTTCCCTGTTTGGTTTGGTGGAGATAAATTTACAGTGCTCTTGCTGGCCAGCGTGATAGCATCATCGTATCATGGAGTCCAAGTATGTCATCCAGGCATGTTCATAAACCTCACTTGTGAGGTGTTGTAGCACTATATTCATATCCCCAAGTTGGTACGTGAAACTTCCGTTTATTCTCCAAACAGAAACTTAGTAGGTTTACTAACCATCTAGTTGTGTTAGTAGCTTGATGATGAAATTCAGGTGTAGTCTGAAACGCTGTGGATTTCGATCCACTTGTATCACGTCGTCTAGGTAAATCGTTGCGATGTCCTTGACGATGTATGTGCACAACCGGGAGTTTGTGTCCTCGATGAACTTTATGTAAAATCGCCTGACTGCTGTGCCCTTGTCTAAACTTGACAGGGGAGGTCTCTAACCTGAAGAAAGCAGCCTAATCCTGAAGGTTCAGGTTAACTGGGCTGTAAGGAGGCTTGCTCGTTCATTGATATAAAGTTGTCACTTGCAACCTATGTCTTGAACTGTGAACTATGCTCGACCTCTGTGTAGGGCGTTGTTCATCGGGGTCCAATCAGAATAAGGCATTTTGATTCTGTAGAGTACCCGCGCTGTGATGTCACCGGTGTAGCAGGAAAAGGAACCTTGTATAATATAGTGCCGTCGTTGATATTAGAACAATCGTCGGTCTTCATCGTAACTTCCCGAAGTTACCCGAGTGACCACGTGTTTCGAGGATTAATGGTAAACGCGCGAAAGCTTCGGCGCAAAATACCTCGCTCTGTAATATTAATGCTGGGTAGGTTATTTTCCTGGCTGTCGTGAAAGTGCTTCAGTTTTGAATATAATTCCGACTTCTTTATATATAAAGGTACAATAACTTGTAAGTTGTCAGCTTGTAGACTGTATACATGAATGTATCGTCATAATTGTAGAATTAAAGCTGAATTTGTTGTACATATTTCTTCTCAGAAATGTTGACGATTATGAGTTATACTCGCTGTAACAAGGCTGCTGTTCAATTTCGATATTGAATTGTCTGCAGATATGCGTAATGGTCACGCATGTAGATAATCGTATCGTCGTCCGGGATTGCATATACTAGCAATTTATACGGAATAGTTGATTTCTGTGAAGATCTATGAAACGTCGTTGACAAATTAATACAGCGACGTTCTGTGTTGTAAATAGCCTGTGCAATTGTCTTCGCGTAGGCTTATAGACGGCATCTGGCATACAGTTGATAGACAACTTATGCGATGTCTTGAACGGACTGAGGAGTAGCTATATATGACGAGTGGCTAGTATATGGAGACCTTGGAGGAGACTTCCTCGGTGAACGCCGGAGACTGCACGAAGCCTCGAAGTATCCCTTCTAGATCTACTGGTGAAGTAGACTTGAGTTACTTAGCCTTCGCGACCTTCGCGAAGGTATCGAGTCAAAGTCCGATTAGAATATATATATATATATATATAAGAGCGCTTGCTTCGCGAATGGCCTCTGTGTTTAACAGGATGTGGGGTCGGCGAAGCGCTACTCCTCCGCGACGTCCCTTGTAGCTGGTGAGGCTCTAGCTCCTTCGCGGAGGCGGCCTGGGACTTGCTGGTTCTGCATAAGTAGGGCCGAGTGGATCATCTTATCATTTTCAGAAGTCGTGTTACGAAATCTGGCGATAAGTGTCTCAATGATCGTTCTAGATCTATTTAGGCCAACGAACATACGTCTCGTCATGGATTCAACTGAACCAATTTACGATTGTAGTTCTTATTGTTGATATCGATGATCAACTTGTAGTTTTCATCGATGTCTTAAGCATTGAAGAAGGGGTCCATGTTGTGCGTGGAAAACTTCTAGGCGTGAAAGTTCGGCAATTATGGTGTCTGAACTTTTGTGGCTTTATGGGATGCTATGTCTAGATTCTGTGCTACCGCAGCAATCGGGTCGATCGGAGGTAGGGTGATAGCATCTGCGTCGTCTTCCTTCATCAGGTATGTCTGCGTCGTACTGCCACTCTAGGAAGGTGATGTAGACTTGTGTGCAGACTTGTGTGGTAACCTGTGAGGCGATCGATGTGGTGATGTACGAGGAGATCGGAGACTATTGACAGCTTCGCGAAGCTCTTGAGTAGTCCCTTGACTCTGTTAAATGACGATCTATATTCGGGTGTCCTTCCCGAGTGCCTTCGCGAATGCCTTCGCGAACGCCTTCACGAACGCCTTCGCGAACGCCTTCGCGAAGCTTCCTCTGCGTTCGGTGCTGGGGAACGGCGATTTGAGCTTCGCGAAGGCTTCCGTGAGGTCTGGTGGCTGAGTCTGCATCTAAGGATGAAGCCGAGGAATGTGATGATCTATCCCGCCTTCGCGAAGGCCTTCGCGAAGGCTGTACATCTGGGTCCTTCGTCAAGGTGGTCTGCGACTTCCTTCGCGAAGGCTGCATCGTCTTGGCTGCTACGTTGACTGGAGGTGCCTCTAGAGTGTTGTTCTGTTGGAGCCTTCGCGAAGGCTCGTACTCTGGGCTGGCTGCTTCTCCAGTTTGTAGTGACCCTCCATCACGACCATGATTTGCCGTAGTAGCTCGTCTGGGATGGTCTGCGACGAAGTAGTCGGTGCCATCTCTGCGCTGTTAGTGGTGGGGCCCTCAGGTAAGTCGTCTGACATCAGTGTAGAGACATCAGGCTGCATGACGATCTCTGCTGATGTCATTGTAGCTGTCACCGGGTCGCTACTTGTCTCATACGTCGGGATGATGATCGGCTGATCATCGTAGAGGCCAAGTTCAGCGGCTGGAACAATCTCGCTGAGAAAGTCCTAGTAGACTTCGCTGAATTCCCCTCAGAGGTCGACGCTGCCCTGGGGTGCTAAGTCTCGCGCTGGAGTGTTGGTAGCGACGGGACCCTCAGGAAGATCATCGAATGTTGATCTGCGCTGACATCACTGTTGCCGACATCAGTCATTCTTTGATGTACATCAGGAATGATGATCGGCTGATCATCATACAGGCCCAATCTGCGATGAGAACAATCTCGGCTGAGAAAGTTCTAGTAGACTTCGCTGAATACCCTCAGTGCGACGAAGGGATGTCTGGGGAAGCAGGACGCTTCTTGGAGGCGGCGGACTACGCCCCACTTCCACCATTCTAGCGGAAAACCAGACGGGAGGGGGTCACCAACAGCAGTAGACTGGCGAGGGGTTCAGGTGTATCAGTCATGCTAGACTCTGCATAATGACCTATCTGCTGCGCGTCTCAAACGCAAAAGTAATTATTTATTAAAGGTAGAATTGGATAAATTAGTATCGCAACTGCAACGTGAATCACATGAAACATGGCGCGAGTACAGCTAGGGCATATTAAATGCGGATCAGCAGCAGAATAAAAACGTAATGTGCAACAGTACAGAATTTTATCAACGTAATCCACTGCAACAGCACGGGCCCCGTGCATAAACAGTAGAAACACCGACTAAATATCAATATATAATTGTTGAAAGATACTAGCTAAACCTCTATAGATCTCTATACGAGGTAACTAACTAAACATAATCAAAGGATATAGTGTGTCGGGAGACACAGGCGCTCTCACGTCCAGCTCACTGGGCGAAGAAGGAGAGAGTGAGGCACATGGGTAGAGGTGGCGCCCTCGTTCCCGCGCTTGTGGAAGGGAGGTAACTCGTGGTGTACTAATTAGTGATTTTACATTGAAGGGAACTTCAATTAGGGAGATACAAGTGTTCCACTATGTTCGCAAGAGGAAGGAGACAAGCAAAAAGAGCATGAGTCAGGATAAGGAAAAATTATGTGGTTCAGAAAAAAATATGTCTCCTAAAATAACAGATGAGTGAAAGGAGTTGAAATTTATTGACACCATGTGCAAGGAATTACCTAAAGATTGCCCAATGCATACATTCTGGTTATATGTACAGTATTGTGAGTGTGGATGTAGATTTGACAACACTTGGTGCCAATGTTTCTGAGTTGATCCCACACAAAATACAGTGTACAATGTTGGGTCTGGTTTGACAAAGTGATCTTAGCTCTATGATAGTAGTGATGGTATGGGAGATATGATTGTCTTAGCGCTAAGATCACTTTGGGCAACCGGCCATGTATTTTAGCAGAGAAGATTGTACAGCTGGGAGCTAGATGACCATTTGTACATCTGCAGCTCGATATTAATCAACCACACACATCAGTGACTCAGCTGACAAATCACTCAATCATTACTGGCTAAACATAGCTGAATCTTATAAATAGATGACAGGTAGAGATGGGTGCACACATCTATATGTTATCTGCACAGCTTGAACAACTGACACAGTTGAATCACTGACAGATGACAGATATATATAGGTGCACACAGCTGAATCATTTACACAGCTTGAATGAGTGAGTGAGTGACTTTAGTTTTACGCTGCTTTTAGTAATATTCCAGCAATATCACAGAGGAGGACACCAGAAATGGGCTTCACACATTACACAGCCTGAATCACTGATGCAGCTGAATCACTGACGCAGCTGAATCAGAGACAGCTGACACATATACATAGGTGCACACAGCTAAATGATTGACACAGGTTTAACCATTGACACAGCTGAATAAATGACAGGTATAGCTGGGTGCACACAGCCAAATAATTTATACAGCTTCACTACGGCTACAGTTACAGCTGTTCATGGCTGAATCATTAATGACGATTTCCATGGGCAGATGAAAAACACAGCATAAGCTGGTGGACACAGCTGAAAGAGCTTAAGCCGCTTGACATACGACACGGCCGATGCTGGGTAGACAGTCTCCACGCCGACACAGAAATACTAAGCTGTAAACGAAGCTCTGTCAACAGCAAAAAGCTGGGCAAGAATCAACATCATCTTCTGGCTGACAGCAACAACAGTATGATTGGGTCCAACAGCTTAGCTGTTCTCATGCTAAGGCAGATCATCATAGTTACCGCTGGGCCATCGTCTGACACAGCTTAAAGCTATGTAGTCATGTGCTATATCCATGCTACTGTATGACAGTGTCGTCACTGAATGACACAGCCCGGTTGTTGATGAAGCTGACAGCATGTACATCTCTCGTTAAGAGGGCGTGGTGGTATCAAATCAAGGTCTTCGTCATCAGGTTCAAGGTCAAGGTTGTAACCGTCTTTAATTAATTGGGCAGTAATTTCCTTCTGAGCAGTACGACTTGTCTGTGGAAGATCAAACTCATCATCCTCACTGAAACAAGAAAATCATTCTGTGACAGGACTTTCCAACATCTACCATCATGAAGTGACTATTTCGTTGTCTTCTCAACTGAGTAAGGAAAACTGAAGTTGCTGAACTTGAACTATTGTTCGATAGTTTGATATATATCGTAAGACACAAACAAGACCAATAAATCATCAAGTCAACATCCGACAAACCTTGTCTGAATGCACAAAACACATACTACAATGCCACACAGGTACATGACAGAAATACTATAGCGTTACCAATTTCATGGAAATTATTAACTTGATAATGATAGTCATTGTTCCCACACAAGTCTTCAACATGGTACTCACCTGTCTGTTACTATAGTAACTAGAGGCTGCTGATCTGGATTGAGAGGTTTCATCTCTGGTACTGTCACCCTGCATCAAACAAACAACATTTCAATACAAACTGCATCAAATCATACACATAGGAACAACCTGTTCTGGTCTTTGCTTCTTTGCTGCACTCAGCATGGTTTCACCTGTAAATTGATAGCCAGGACCAGACATTCCACAGACTGCAATGGTGAACAGCAATTCACAATATATAACATAAGGGTATGACATGCCATAAATATAGTACCGTATATTACCGTAGATAAGCCGACCCCATAGATAAGCCGACCTCCAAACTTGACCCTTAAAATCAGTGTCAAAATGGTATGTTTCGTACATAAGCCGATCCCCACGATGGTAAATATTTTTAATCCATTGGCTTAACTCTCACAATAAAACATTCCAGCATTCCACATTGGATCCATCCAGAATATTTGAATGGGTGAATATTGGGTGTGTGATGATGATTCTTGAGGAAGAGCTTGTGAATGACTCCTCCCAAAATGTATGTACAAAGTAAGTGGACAACCCCACCCCCTACACACGTCATGTACAAAATCAATGACCTTCCAAAATTTCTAAGCATGATTTTAAACATAGTAATGTACAAAATTGCTGACCTCCCCTAGCTCCCCAGAACAAAATGGGTGGAACACCCCCCACGCCCAAATCATCATCACCCCCTAGCCATAAATTATGAACGGTCCCTAACCCATGCTTGTCGTAAGAGGCGACTAACGGGACCGGGTGGTCAGGCTTGCTGACTGGGTTGACACATGTCATTGTATCCCAATTGCGTAGATCAATGTTCATGCTGTTAATCACTGGACTGTCTGGTCCAGACTCCATTATTTACAGACTGCTGCCATATAGCTGGAATATTGTTGAGTGCAGCGTTAAACTAAACTCACTCACTCCAAACTCACCCATCATTCAAACTACCACTAGTGTGTAGTGTCAAATTCACAGTTAGCATGTCTAGGCTTAAAACATTTTGACGTATTTCAAAAACTTGAATGCTGACACTCACCTGCTCCTCGGAAGGAGGAAGGATCTTTTTGGCTGGTGTTCTATAGCAGCAGCTTGGGCCTGGGCTTTCTTGGCCAGTTCCCTTTGCTTTTCTGAAACACACGATACATGCTCTAATTACATCTGGGGGACAGCTTTGAAAAATGATATCAAATCGCATGTACAAACTAACAGATATTGAGATGCAACATCATTGAAACAGTTTTGAACGGAAAGAAGAATTTCTAAGTAGTTTTACGTGGCAAATGGATTGGCCAAAATATATATCCTTACAGCAAGTTCAGATCACAAGTACAAGACGTTTATAATATTAATCAATGTTGATTAGATAATCAGTGATCTAACAGTGTCTATTCTAGAACTTAAAAGCGGGGAGGTATTTGTCCCCTATCACGTAAAAAGGAGAGGGGTGGGGGTGGGGGTGGAAAAAGGAGAGGGTAATACCACCAGTATTACTGTCTTTCAAAATAATGTACCTGCAACTTCATGTGAATAAAGAATAACAAACAATATGAAATTTGTTTTATTAAGGTGAGTTCTTTTTCTGTAAAGATTGAAATGATTATGAACCACTTATTCAAAAGACTGAACAAGATTCTTTGAAATTCACATCTTTAAAACTCTATTCAACACTTACATATAATTTGAAATTGGTCTGCATCCTGTCCACTCAAAGTGAAGTTCAGAACTTCTGATTCAGATTCTTACATATTGAAAACAAATCTTTGAAAGATCCTCCTTTGCTTTTTGGTTTTGAATTCCTCAAGAGCCTTGCTGGCATCAAAGATTGAAAGAAGGTGGGCCCTCAATACTTATTATCATCAACTCTCTGGGTGCCTTCTCACTCAGTTTGTTTCTATATATGTTTTTATTATATTCTGACTTGAGAAACCATGTTCACAAACTGAGTCAGGGACTGGGGTTGGTCTCAGGGTTTTGCTTGCCTTTTGATTTACACATGTCTTACCAGACGTATCAGTCTGGGAAGATGTGGCTGTCGCTTTCTCAATGGTATTTTGTGCAAAACAGTTGGTTATTTTCATTCTTTTGCGCAACATTATTCACACCAAATTACCACAAACTGTTGTAAATAAAATTTTTGTCTGCCTTTGTCGTCTGCATTACTTCAAGTGATAATATTATTTGATTTCGAATAGTGGTGGTCAGATTAATTGAAATAATCGAAGATTGGTCGCAATGACTAAACGACCAAGCAATCAATCATGTTTTCACATAATCGAACACAAACAATTTTGGAACACTTGTTTGCATTAACAATATTTTTCACAAGGTTTGTTTTGTCTGTTACATTTCATAAGCACTACTAGCTCGTTCCAAGTCATGATTGAATTTATCTTAAAGAGTCCAGGTAATTTATGTTCCTAACATATCAGTCATCCTGTAAAGATGCGAAATTTGCAAATGAATTTTGTGCAATTTGCCCCCCAAAAAACTGAAAGAACTACATGTTTTGTCTTTGTTTTGTGCATTAACAAACATAATCAGAGAATTTGATAAATGACTCTAACCAATTATTTTTGATGATTGATGGGTTGTAATGAACCAATCATCAATTATGAGATTTTAATCAATTCCCAACACTGATTTCGAAAATGAAACTAAAACTGTGTCTTAAAAGCGATATACAATATGCAATATGTTTAGAGTTCTTAATCTAAGGTTTTCAATTTATTAATTAATCAAATCATAATTTTATTGAATAGTTTGATTTATTTCTAACTGAAGGAAATGGAATTTCGTTTCCCCACAGTGCCGATAATGGATTTAACCAAGAGAGGTTACTCTGTTGTGTTTTCCTGTTGTTATCGATCCAATCAAACTCTGTGGCTGACATCAATTTCAAAAGATATTCCCAGTTAATATAAACCTTTTATGCATGGTTTTTTCAAAGGTAGGTAGGGATAAAATTATGATGTGCGACAGTTTGTGCTATGTTGTTTTTATGAGGGACGATTTGAAAATTATCAGTGCGAATCGTGCGTCCTAGAATAGACAATGATCGAATTATTCAAGTCCAATCTTTACAACAGTATTATTGCAGTTTGATATGCACCAGGTATCTAGTTCAACACTAAAATAACCAACATCAGCACCAAATAACGCCACAGAACGTAATTCTTTCATTACATTACACTCGCCCTTGTAGACTAACAACTAGTCTCGGAAGTGAACATAGTTTACAGTAAAAACAGTTCATTAAAAAAAATATATATATAATGAAAATGAGTCCTGAGGCTTTCTTCATTTTTAGAAACTATGGAAATCTAGACTTGCCACATATTCTTGACTTGCATGGGCGTTCTTGGATATATTTGTTTCAAGGTCTGTAATGTATGACAGACTAGAGTCCTTGAGGAGTATCTCTAGACTGGGTTGAGTGTAATTAACAGTATCAAACACTGATTCTGCTGTGACCTCATTGATGCCATTGGACATGCCAGTGTGTCATTACTGACCTCAATCTTATGGTATGTGCAAATTGTTTGTTTTCGTTACTTGACTGAGATATAAATGATTTGGTAATAATATTCAACAGTGTCTAAATTAAGCAGGAAAATCACCAACTCCTTGTCATGACCCGAGTTTTACTTGACACAGAAAAGGCTGTCCACTATAAAGACTATGCACAAATGTGCACATTGGATGCAGAAAAATGTATACATTGTGCTCCAGAGGGTGCACAATAACATTCATTGTACCAAATTCTTGACTTGAAATACAAGGTTCCTGTAACTGAAATGACTATGGCTCAGTACACCACACCATATCATGACAGTAAATGACCCTCACATATCCCACAACTACTCTTGAACAAGCTCAAGTTTGAAATTCTGATCAGAATGGTGAGGTGAGGTGAGGTGAAATTGGGTTTAACGTCGTGCTTGAGAATATTTCGCTCATATGACGACGTGCATGCGTGTGTATATGTATGTGCGGCTGCTTGTACTAGCTCAGACTTAAACTGGTTTTATAGTGCTAGCCTACTTAGATACCATGCCGCAGTGAAGCATACCCCACTCAGACACATTATGCTGACTCCGAGCCGACCAGTCCTTGTTGCACCCATTAATGCCGAGCGCCAGGCAGGGACCAACAAGTACCATATTGTAACGTCTTTTGGTATGACGTGGTCGGGGGTCGAACCTGCGACCTTCCGCTCTCCAGGCAGACCTCTAAGTCTAGCCACTACACCACGGAGGCGGTTCTGATCAGAATGGATGGAGGCAGATATTATAAAGAAAAACAGAACAGTGCCAATAGCACTGTATAGCATACAGTATTTCATGCCTTCCGAATGCTTATGTCATCAAATAAAGTAATCATGCGACAGAATTCTAATGAAAACATATCACAAAAAACGTGGGCAAATGAAATGTTGCTTAACAGTTACTACTTTGAACTTGTTCAACTCCTGATGTAAGATAGTCTGTCATACAGACCCTGTAAGAAATATATCCAAGAAATCCCATGCAAGTCTAGAATATGTGGCAAGTCTAGATTTTCACAGTTTCAGTTTCTGCAAATGAAGAAAATCTCAGGGCTCTTTTTCATCACATTTTATGATTATTATTTATGAAGTGTTTTTTTTCCTTCTGTAAAATATGTTCATTTCAGAGACTAGATGTTAGTCTAGAGGTAAGAGTGAACCAGTGAATGATTTTGTTTTATGCTGATTTTAGCAGGATTTCACCAGTATCATGACAAGGGACATCAGAAATGAGCTTCACACATTGTCCCATGAAGGGATTCAAACCCATGCCTTTAGCATGACAATTTATGCTGTAACCACCATGCTACCTCACCGACCCTTATGACAGAGGGGGCGGTGGGGTAGCCTAGTGGTTAAAGCGTTGGCTCATCACGCCGAAGACCCGGGTTCGAATCCCCACATGGGTACAATGTGTGAAGCCCATTTCTGGTGTTCCCCGCCGTGATGTTGCTGGAATATTGCTAAAAGCGGCGTAAAACCAAACTCAGTCAGTCAGCTTATGACAGAGATTTTGACAAACCAGCATCTTGATAAGCCATGAGCAAGATAAAACATTAGGTATGATGATGATGGCCCATTTTGGTCCCCTGGTAATCTCATAAAATAAATGTATTTTAAATGTAGAATTTAGGCTAGGAGCTATCAGTATCACTTGCACATTTGAAACATTTGGCATGATCAAATACAGAGGTCTGATTTGGGAGTAAGGTTTTACACCTCTTTTAGCAATATTCCAGCAATATCACGGCAGGAGACACCAGAAATGGGCTTCACACATTGTACAGGTCTGATTAGAGCAAAATATATCCACATATATTTCAATATAATACCCAGGGCTCCAGATAATTTTTGAACACCAGGAGTACGTACTCCTTATTTTTTTCAATATAGGAGTACTCGAAAACCGTAAGCCTACATTTAGAGTACTGAATGGAATTTGATGGAGTATCAGTAATCTTGTGTTTCGTTTCATATATGCACCACAACATTGCTAGTCTTGTGTAAACAGGTCAATGAACAATAAAACAATAGTTTTTCAGATAAATACGTCTGTAAATGATTCTAAGACTGTACACCATTGCCGTGGTGCGCTGCTATGTTTTCTAAATTATTTCCTACCGTATCGTGCAAATTTTTTATCCGTGCATACGCCGATACAGCCCTTATCTGGAGCCCTGATATCCTATAATATTTTTACTAGTTTTATACCATGAATATGTAATTGTAAGATTTGCTTCACTGACCTGCTGTGACCATGGTGATATAACTGGAATACTGATAAAAGTGACATTCCACCTGACTCAGTCTGTCACTCACTTGACGATGTAACAACCAACACATTGTTGGCTGTGATGATGTGCAAACAATCGCATCCTGTAGGGCTATCACTGGAGATAATAACTTTAAAAAGGGTAAACTAGGGCGGTTCTGGGGTGTGTGTATGACTGACTGTTCCACCTGAATATTTCACAGTTACATTACAGCGAACACACTTTGATGTTTCCATACACTTTCAAAGAGGGGTAGCCTCGTGGTTAAAGTGTTTGCTTGTCACCCACAAAATCTGGGTTCGATTCCCCACATGGGTAGAATATGTGAAGTCCATTTCTTGTGTATGCCATAGTCATATTGCTGGAATATTGCTAAAAAGCGATGTAAAACCTTACTTACACAGTACACCTTATAGTTGACATCATTACTTACAGAACAAAAGAGCACAAGACATTTTCCATTTGTTTTGACTGGTTATCTAGTTGTGAGGTACATCTGCCTTTTATTCCCCTAATAGGTAAACTGTAGTGTGTACTAGAAATATTACCCATCAGAGAATTAGCTCTCCAAGATATCAATATATTTCATTCCCATAGATTACTGACAACTTTGACACCTTTCTGTGCTTTAGTGTTGACCTCACAGTTTAACAGTTGACAACACTTCTCATTCAGATTCATATAAGCACATCTGAAATTTCTGAATTTTGTTTTAAGAGTTTGACTCATTTCTTCATTAACACTGAGCTAATTGACCATAAGGCCCTGTCATACCGTATAATCATATTGATAAAGAAAAACTGTAAACTTACCTATTTTCTTCTGCAGTTCTGCTGCTTTCTTCAAAGCCTTGTAGGAGGCACTTTTTGTTAATGTGGACTCTGTCTGCAAACATGCATATAGACAATTACCATAAACCGGAATCAATCGCCTTTACAAAGACAACAAAAGAGTTGCAGAGAGAATGAAACTGTGACATAACATCTACAATATGAAGTCTTAACTATCTAAAGTCCAATGTGAAATTATGGAGAGCAGTTTGATGAACCTGATATGCCCTTAGGCATGGCAATAAAGTGCACTTCAGCCCATTCACCTACTCTGACTATGGTAGTAAAGGCAAGAGGGTTATCATAAACTTAGCTTGGAAGGTTCATTATGACCACGATGCCATAAAGTTAGTTGTGACATCTAAATCACATGTTATTTATTGAGTTGGAAATAATTAGTCATACTTTTAACTTCATCACCAATTGCCTCAGAATACTGTTTTATTGACCTTCTTCCCAGACAGCACTATGACAGACTGTAGACACATGATAGACTGTCTACAGGTTTAATGATAGTACATAACTTAAACCTTCTCTTTTTAAAAATGACGGCAGTTTGAGCAAAGAGACAATGATCAAACTCCATCTATAGAAGTGTTGTTGATATGAATAATACTGAGTGCCTCATCTTGAATACCAGATAGCACATGTATATTTATGTACAGGGATATAATTTAAGTTCTGTCTTTAATGGAAATCCAAACAAAAATAAACTTAAAAATTCTTTTATACTAAAATCTGCCCATACTTTTATAATAAATTCGCATAGGTTTGATAAATGATTAATGATGTTCAAAATGCAGGTTGCTTGCTTTCCTATCATGCTGCATATTATTTAATATTTGTTGTATTCATGTATTAATGTAATGGAGAGGTATTCAAATAAGCCATTACAGCCTGTTTATCGATCCTTGTTCTATTTATTTTGAATAAAATATGTTTACACTGAATATCTGTAGAAAGAAAGTAAACTTGTTGTACCATGTTTAACCATGTGTGAAAAGATTAGCTTGATGAAGCATAGAATAGAGCGGACTTTGTCCGACTTGCATGGACACTGTGAATCATAGCTTTAGTCTTTTAACCTGCAGCAATGAATAACAACAACAATCAAAATAAATTAAATTGGCCTTAAGCTTGAATAAACATGACAGATTTTAGACAATATGACTCAAGGCCGATGACAAAGGTATCTTAGAGGTAATTAAGTAATTAAGTAATCTAGTGCCTGTCAAATACTTAATTACAGTAATTCTTGAAACTTGTGAACAGCTATAACAGTACATTAGAGCTTGGACTCAGTTTCTTGTTAACTGGTTAATCTGTTCTTAGCATGGCTTGTTTCTTAAGTTCTTGTTTAAAATTCAGTAATTGATAATCATATACAGTTATAATGGTATTAATGATTAAGTGTGGCCACTAAGGATCTACAACAGAGATACTGATTATAATGTTTGAGAAATAAACACCTTACATGCTTTTTCACTTCTAAATGCAGTAACATGTTTGAAATTAATCAGTGAAAAGGTAGTAGCCAGGGTTCTATTGCCCTAGATCAAGCACTTATGGACATCTTTGAGTGGCATTTAGAAGCTTGTATGATGAACAGGAACGATTTTTTTGTGGATAGGCAACTTCTTTATTGCAATGGAAGCAACGTTTCGGTGTAGATGTTAATACCATTATACTTCACTTGATATATAACAATGCAAGCATTACACCAAAATGTTGCATACATTGCAATAGAGAAGTTGTCTATCCATAAAAAATTATTCCTGTTCACATTAATCACTTGTTCTTAAAGTTCCAATTTGGAATGACCCCCACCAAGAGACATAAACAAATCACAATTTTGCTCTCTGTAATACAATCCGTTAACACTATGAAAGTAGCCTCTTCAACAAAACATGTTTCCAAAGGCTGTAGGTGAATTCGTAACCAAAACCGGTTCGTAGACGTGGAAATCCGGTGGATATTGTAGACGGATTGAGCGGTGAATTCGTAGACGTTATTAAAATGGGAAAAGTTCATCCTCAATGATGAAGAAAATCGACGAAAAGTGTTTGCATTTTGTAAAATAAATAAAATATATCAGGTAAGTATGATCGGCGGTGAAAATATCCTTAAATAATAAAATATGCTTCACAGTGGTCCATGTCACAAATTCCGACAAATCATAGGCCGCTAATATTAAATTCAGTTGTGTAAAATTAAAAGATATGTATTAGGTAAGTATCGTCATTCAACGTTTAACTCACGAGACCAGCAGAGAAGTAGCAGAAAACACTTCTTAAGAAAACACTTACATCTCCCACACAGAGTACTTTCGCAATCAAAACAACTCACCACTTCCTAATTAACATTCACAACAACTCAGTGAAACCTGTTAATCCTCCCACAACAATGAAAACTGTCGGAAATTCTAGACAAGATCACGGAAAATATTCGTTCACTCTTCAATCACATTTTCTTGTGTCCTCAGCTGCCCTTAGTTTCGTATCACTGAAAACAAAGCATACGGGAAAATATTCATTCACAATTTCCTTGAGTCTTTAGCTGCCCTTAGTTTCGTATCACTGAAAACAAAGCATAACAACTTCGTTATAAACATTCTAAGTAACATCTAAGTAAAAATCAAACTTAATATATACTATATATTCAATTATTTATACACGTCTACGAAATCACCGTCTACGAACCGGTTTTGGTTACGAATTCACCGCGTCTACGAACTGGTTTTGTCTACGAAATCACCGTCTCCCTTTCCAAACAGTCAAACACTTCTGTTGTAAGAAAGGGTAATTTGCTGGGAACAGACACAATAATGACAACAACACATGTAGTCATGTAGCAATCAGTAAAGATAATCATGGTAAAGTGCATTTCATTTTCGGTCTAAAACGTAAACTTCTCTCAATCAATCTGATATTATGCATGAGACACTGTAGAATTATCAACATCATCAATGTACAAACTGCACATGCTACAGTCAATGAGTGGTTTGGCAACAACGCACAGTCAGCTTACAACTGTGTAACTTACATGGGTTTAGGCTAAAACGTCACCTGGCAAAAACGGCACCATTTGGACATAACGGAACCTCGACTTGGCGAAAATGGCTACAAATCTTATGGCGAAAACGGCAGCAACTAAAATCTTAAGGAGAAAACTAGTTTGTTATTAGATAATTGGATTGCAGAATGTTTAGATAGTAAATGCACCTACTATTATGTCTGAACTTAAGAACAACGATGTATTTTTATATTCAAGGATACGATGTGAAAACTACTTTATACAGTAAGTTATTTCAATTATGTATCCAGCTAATGGAACAATGTACTGGAGCGGCGTTTATATAAGCCACTAGGCTTGTTCGCCTATCCAGGTTTCTTTGACGAAATAAAAATATGTTTAAACCAAATACATCTACTGTGCCGACAGTGATTGGAAATGGGCATCCCATAGCCGATAATCGGATTGCAGAATGTTAAGATAGTAAATACATCTACTGTGCCGACAGTGATAAGGGTTTCATATGGTGAACGGTTAGTGACTTATCAATGAATGATCCTCACAGAACTTACCATGCACTTCATCAATCACAATATTTGGCACTATTGATACGCAAAACATTTAAACAGTGGACACATGTGATCAGTTGAAAACTTGAACCCAAACGAATACCAGCTGATTCCAGTGGTCTCAATTTGCGACTCAAATCATGTAAGATACTATTACGAAAAAAATGTTTAAATCCAGATACTGTTCATCATGATAGGAAATGAGTGGGCGTAAATATATGTATATGTTAGTGTCACACTGTCAATATGTTACACACAATTGCATCTACGCCTAAAACATGTAAATGCGAGCACTTCTCAATGAGCTGACAGATGAAACCTCCCAAACGAATGATGGTTGAGAGGTTGCACTCACCTTTGTATCAAAATGTCCATTCTGCGACTTCTGATCACTGTCAAAACCACTGTCTTCCATACTATCCATTGATGAAGATGGAATAATTATGTCTCAAGATAAATAACTTCATCAGCTGTCCAACATTATTATAAAGGCGAAGCTCTATTTCCGGTCTATATAGAACGCCATTTTAACGTGGATTCATGGGAAAAGATGTGGTAACGAGTGCGCATGTGCGTTGCTATTGACCACACTCACCGCCATAGTTGTTTACATCGCAAGTTGTCTGCATTCAGAGAAGTTCACTCGAAGCAAGAACTAGCAGAACATCAACCATGCCACCCAAGGCAGCAAAGGCAAAACAGGTATATATCCCCACGCATATGTTTTTGAACACATTCATGATAATGATGTTGTTTGTCAAAGTGCGAAAAACCTTATAGAATATGATGCTGTACATGTATGCTAGTAATGCTACCATGTTTCCACCGGTTCAAGAGTGCTTTCTGGTGCATGTCATTTCGTTAATTTAACATGAACATAATACTTTTGTACTAACTATAAGATTCTAACGTTGCATTATGCCATACGGTTGACCTTACCGGCGTTCAGACGACATCGCTTGCTGTCAGGTAATTGTGCGGAGCAACTGACGCATATCATCCAGTTGGAGATCCGAAGTATGGAAGCGTATTAGGGCCAGATTATTTTAAAAAATCACTTCATCAATGTCAGGAAGAGTGTTTCATATTAAATCCAATTATGAATAATGAAGAAAAAGGTTTAAAAGTCTGAAGAAAGCGAATTTTCATAAAACTGTCAATTACTGTTATTTACTTACGGTACCTTTAGTGATTAAAAGCCAGTCCCTTGTAACAATGTCCCGATTTCAAGCGTACAGGTGGTAGCAGACCATGTTAACTTCGATACAGAAGTACGCTATTGCAACTGCTCAGATTTACCGGACGTGCAGAATTACCGGATTTGCTTGAAATTGCTTTAGTGTCAAAATGACTAATGATTATTTCATCAATAAAGTAGTTTGGCCCAACTGGTTCTTTTGCAGAGGTGTTGAATGTCAAAGAATGCAAGATTGAAACCATTTATTGGATATACAATATTGGATACCCACTGAACATTCTCTTTAACATCAACGCTTCAGTTGGCAATCGGGATAATGTGTCCTGGAACTCACTGTGTCTATCTTTATCCCTCACCTAGAATATTATAGCATATAGTCTTGTACGTGCTGGAGTTCAAATGTTTTCCTGTTGGGATTCAAGTTAGAATAAGTCACCAGTATCCTGCAGATGTTTTAAGGGGAAGAAGATAAAACCGGTCATCCACTGTGGCTTATTTATTGCATGTATTATACTGTTACAGCATGTGATGTTGCTGGAATATTGCTGAGGTTTTAAATAACAAACCAAATCATGCCTCTTTCAACAATAACTACTACAATTTGCTCATAATTAGATGGATTAATGAATCCGTGCAAAAATGCAAACATGAATGTTATGGTATTTTAAATGATTAAACAGAATTCAGTTGTAGCATGTATGAAATAGTTTGTGTTTGGTATCACTCTGGTAGTGAATAAACATAAACAAGGTGTCTGTCTTAACCAACATGTATTGAAGTTTTCTAAAAGTAAAAGAAATGACATTTAAGTTTCATGTTAATTATTACATGCTTATATGTGAAGATAAAGGAAATCATTCTCATGTTCACTGCCATTCCACAACATTGTTTTTCATGAACCATACACTTGATGTTATTTGTGTTTAATTGAGATAATCATGTGCTTCTAATGAAACAGAGCGTAGCAGGTATGGGCGACTTGTCACGGAGGAGAGCTACACGTATACGGGTAAGTGATATGCACATTGTGACATGCATCAAGATGCAGCACAGTGCATGCAAGCTCATGCTGAAATAAGTGGCTTTTGTGTTTGCAGTATGATTAAAGATGGCAAATGGCGCCCTATTTCAGAAGAAGTTGAAATGAGAGATCACTAGAATTGTTTCGTTTCTTCATTCTAGCAGTTTAAAAATCCCTTCATTACTGCATTAAAAATGCAACAAAACATACATATTGAATAAAGTTACTTTTTATCTAATGAAAATATTTCTGAAAAGAATTATTTGTTTTGTTTTGACGTGAGTCATTTACAGTTTTTTTTACTATGTTTTAATGGAACGATTTCAAAGGTGGCATGACTTAATTTAAGTAACTGATATCTGTTTTACATCTACTGAAATTGGTCACCAATTGCCATCTTCACATTGCCAGAGCACTGTGTGATGCTGGCTCAAATAAGTGAATACCCACACACTATTATTCTCTCTCTTTTCTCCCTGCTCCACTTCACTAACAGACTGGTGGAGGCACCTCTGCACCGAAGGGTAAAACAGGGGTGCGAATTGCAGGTCAGGCCGCGCCCGGCAAAATATCAACTATTAAGGTATCACCTAGTTGGTACTTGCAGTCCGTTATAGCTGATGTTACAGCTTTTAGTTGGTACAGATGGCTGTAGATGGGTGTACACTGTGTAGGTATCATGCCCCCATTTGAAAATGGGATGTATTTAAGACGCCATCTTTTAATCAACATCTTACAAAACAAAAATGTGTAATATTACAGTATCAATTTTCCTAAGATTTAGTTTGATACACAAGATACTTTGTTAATTATTGTAAAGTTTTCGTATACTTGGAGGAGATATGAACTGGTACTAAATACATTGAAACTCAATGTAATAGTTGAGTCATTAGTTTGGTTGTAATAAATTGATGATATTAGATCTTAGTCTGTTTGGAGTTATACCAGGATCATAAAGTTACATTGTTTTATAATATCTGTCAACTGATAAATGTTCAGTTTCACACGGTTGCATGTGTGCATGAATATAAGTTAGTATCATATGTAGAAGGGGATTTTAGGTCTTCAGTTCAAATGTTTACATACAGATTTTGATAGCATTTACTTTTGTTGATAAGCTGTGATGAAATACACAAGTATGTGTCATATCTGTCATGGCATACCATAATGAAATTACGCTTAGGGTGTTGCCCATCTACAGTTACCTTTACAGGTTTTGGTTTTCATTCAAAAGTACAAAATAGACATTAATTAGACTTAGAGTTGATTAAATTCTGTTTTTTTGCTTATATTTTGTTACATATGGTTGGATTGCTTTGATAGTCAAGAATACATGAGCTTATATAATGAATGTAGAAATGCATAACATGACAATCATAACAAGATATAACTACATTCTTTGATGCAAATACATATATATTCAGTTTCACTAAAACCGGTAAGAAAGTAGAAATTGTACCTCGTTTTCTAAAAACATAAACTTAAATTTTATAATTGGTTCTGACAGTTTCATTAAACTTGTTTGGGTCAGTTATCTGACCATTTTAAGTTGATACTTCTTTGCATACTGGTCCAGGGAAGTTACGATGAAAAGGGGAATTTTGTATTTTCTGCTTCTTGGATGGAGGGTAACATTGCACAAGTTTCTAAAGCTTCTTGCTGTTCAATAATGAAGGGCTGGTGTTTTTGGTCTTAAACTTTTTGAAAAAAAAAGTTAAATGTAAGAAGTGTTATGTTTCTGAAAAGTATGACTTGAAAAGAACTCATCATGAAATGAAGACACTAGCCCTTTGTATTTGCTGGTAACACTTCCAACATATTGCATTTTGATGCTTTCTCATTTCATTTCACACCTAAGAAGCTTTGTATCAATTTGAAATGCATTGTTGATACATGTGTTGAGATATAATTTTAAATGCACAAAAGGTTACTCCTATGATTTTGTAAATAGTATATATATTTCAGTTATATATAATGCCTTTGGAATATGTTATCAGTTACATTTTTTTCTTCAGTGACCATATAAATATATATAGGACTCAGATCACTGACGGGTATCTATTCCTTTGCGGATTGTCTTATTCACTTTCATACAATTGAGTTGTATGTGTTGATAATGTCATATACCTATGACATGGGGTGGTGGGATGTCCTATCCTAGTGGCCAAAACATCAACTTGTCACTCCTTGGCACCTCAGTTTTCAGGGGCATGATGGCAGTTCACAGATTGTTCAGCTTCTTTATTATTCCATATATTTGTGAATGTACAGTAAGATCTACTAAAGACAGGACTTATCTGACAGGCTTGAAAAGCTTCCACAAATCCTGTTGTGAAATCTGAGTCTTACATATATTTATTATTAAATTTGTTCCTTTGTAGTCGATTTTCAATGATTTTTTTTGCTTAACATTATTGGATTATAGATACTATCCCTATTCATCAATTGTAATGTAATTATGAAACTTTAGCAGATAATGTAATGTAATTTAAAGCCTTAAAAAGCCTCCATTTTTATTCAAGTCAGTCCTCACTTACTGATATGGGATATAATGTCAGTATCTTGTTGTGTGGTACAGGTTACACTTTTGTAAATCATTGTCTATATGTTCCATTGTGTAAGTGTTTCCATGAGAGTGTATATCATGTAATAATGTGTATTTCAGGAGGGTGATGACATGACAGATATGGGCGATGGTACTGATGCTGATGAGTGGACTCAGGTAACTCAATTAGTATTCTCATCTTCCATCTTTTGTTATTAAATTATACAAAGACAAGTCATATTTCATTCTTTGGAAAGCCAAGGCACAGATCCATAAATCCATAAAATGTCTCAGATTACAGTTTGGTAAGGACAGTGCCTGCTGCTGTTGTGTTTAATTATTCAGCTAACACTGACGTGGAATGTATGTGGGATGTGTAGTTCCATTATGCTGAGTTGACATTTGTACTTCTCTTTGAGCAGCAGCGGACCCTGGTGAAGCCAGAAGACCAGCTGGATCTGTCAGAAGTTGTAAGAAAACATTTTTGCTTCTTTAACTGTGTACATGAGTGTCAGTGTCAAACTATAAGAAAATATTCTGGCTTCTTTTATTGATACACATGTCTCATCAATGTCAGATTGAATTTATTCTACATGCATTATCAAGCTGTCTGTTTGGTTAAAAGGAAAATAAGTTAGAATGTCAACAGTTTTGTGATGCATAACATATTCCATTTGATGGTGATTATAATTTGTATGCTTATAATGATGATGTCATGTATTCATTTGGTATGGCAAAGAGATTATTTAAATTAGTGAAGATTATGCCTTCTTATAGGAACTGAAAGAAGAGTTCACCAGGATCCTGACAGCCAACAACCCTCATGCACCACAGAATATAGTGCGCTATAGCTTCAAGGTAAATATGTCCTCTGTGTCATCTGTAAGTGTGGAATACATCTTGGGAAAGCAAAAGTCGAAGAAAACCAAACCTAAAACAATACCCAATACACTCAGTATTTCCAGGATATAATACTGCATAGACATGTTATTAGACATTCTACTCAGACCCCGATAGCATGAATCATCACTGGCTTGTCTGATCCAGATTTGATTATGCATACTTCAGTGACATACATGTGTAATAATGCTTTTGCAAACTTTAAACTCTTTGAAAACACATGTATACATTCTGCAGACTCAGCGACTGAGTGCTATTGTACCCTGATATCAATGGTTGCTTACAAAATCAATCACTGGCTAGTCTGGTTTAAACTGAATTATCTACAGAATGTTAAAGAACAAACCAATCCTATTTTCAAGCATGTATTGTTTGTAGGAGAAACAGTACAAGCAGACGTCCAGTGTTGACCAGCTGGCTGTCCACTTTGCTCTGGATGGAAACATGCTACACAGAGATTCGGATGAAGCCAGACGACAGCGGGACCGTATGGGCATCCCAGAGGGTAGGTATTCTGTCAAATTGTGGTCATCGTTCAGTTGGACTGAAATGGTTCTCTGAAGTCATGATATTAATAAATCCATATATAGTTCTGTCTCCTATGCTTGCGGGTTTCCTATTCTCGCGGTAAACAAGTTTTCTGCCGATATCGCCGATGCGCGACACCATGCTCTTGTTAACCTTGCGAAGTGGTCCAAGTCTGCGAGTGATCAAAATCTTGCAATGTCATGAATATTGGTGAGTTTATACCAACTTGGACATATCATAACTTTTTCCCGCCCTTTTTGGCAGGATTGCTCTTCCATACACTCCATAACGTTACTTCCTCGTTATACCACGAGAATGGGAGAAGCTTCATTTCATTAATGGCGGATGGCTCACAAGTGGTAATTCACCTGATGGATCTAGCTGCTGATAGATGCAGGTGTTAGCTGTTAGAGGAGAGGGCCCTTCATTTAAAGACAACAAGCATTCATACGATAAGAATTGTCCGTGTTATTTTTTCAGTAGATATCTGTAAGTACCGCAAGAATGGGAAACGCCTTCCTACTTTGTTCACAATACAATATTCAGTACATAATATGGCAAGATTCTAATTTTGAAAACAAAAGCCTTTTTCCTCCAAAAATCTCTAAGATTTGCATGTGACAACAGCAATTCAACATCACACTGAATGAAAAGCAATATAAAGAAACACTAACCACAAGTGATCCCAGGTTAGAACTTGTCCCTACCAACATAATATGATGCATGTCACAGGACTTCACCCATTGAGTGAAGGGGATTGGTGATTTGGTTGATAGCATGTCATCCTTTCCTGATTGTATGGTTCTTTGCACATGTAAATTGATGGATTGCCTGGTCCAGACTTGATTCGTTACAGGCTGCAGTCACACAGGTGTCATATTGCTGAAGGTGGAATTAAAACGAAACAATCATCATATGATAAGTGGAATTGTAGAGCAGTTCCAATTCAAAGATCTTCTGTTTTCATGTCATTCTGCAGAGTTGTCTTAGTGGTACACCCTCATAATACGTGTGCTATAATAAAGACTTATAAGATGGTTGTGTGAAACCGAATCCACATGCACATGGTGAATGAAACACTGTATGAATTACATGTATTGAAACAGATAGAAGCGCTCTCATGTGTTGTATCATTATAGAATTATGCATGCATGAATATTTCTGCTTCGGTTCCTAAATATAACAGCAATTTTATGTATATGTATTGTTTGTTATCAAATAGTAAAGTTCAAACTAATGTGGAAAATATCAAGGTTTATTTATATGCTGTATTTCAAAAAGTATTAAGCATGTTGAGTGCCATGCTCCTTAAACAGCTAAGTAATCTGGGCCAATAAGTAATTATTTATAAACACCCCCTACTAAGTTAAAATCTGATAAGGACAAACTTTATATGGATGAACAACTCCTTTATTCAGGTGATGCGACATTTTGATACGGATTCTTGTATCTTTGACAAGCTTGACAACGATACAAGAATCTGTATTGAAATGTTGCATCATCTGAATTATTATAAAGGAGTTGTTCATCCATAAAGCTTCTCCTTATCTGATTAACCAACTCCTATATGTGCCACTCAAAGAAGTCTAATTAAAATCTGCACAATCTCAATAGCCACTATAATATTATTATTCCTAGATTTCACTTCCAAAAATTAACACAAACAGATTATTGTGCAATTTTGTTGTGGTTTTACATGCTGAACAATAAGAAAATATGATAAGAGTCAGAAAGACAATGTATAGTACAAAGATCAAGTATGTTTTCAAGCAACTCACCTAAAAGTGCTTGATCCTAAAATGTTCTGAGAGTGTTAAGTTGAGACATGCTCTTTGTTTGGTGATGATAAATGTAAACATGGCAATGTACTTTTGCCTAACAGCCTTTGTAAATATTTTTGTGGTAACCTTTTTCAAGCAGCAATAGAAGATGACGTACAACAGGCAGCAGCTCAGCGTGCAGGGGCTGTATCAGGTGACACTTTCACACTGCACACTTGATTAATAGATTAGAGTGCAGGATGACACTTTCGTTCTGTCACAGACACATGCACTGCACAAACTCCATCTACACACAGCACAGACTGCATGCACACACTGCACAGTTGTTCAGTTGGTTAAAGCGCAGGATGACACTTTCATTCTGTCACAAACACTGAACAAGGTATTGTGTCTTAGGCATGTCAGACGTATTGATTATTGTTTCAAATCCCAGATAATTGACCAGATGTATGATTCTTGCATTGTTAGCATCATACACATGCTGTTGAAATTCACCAACTTGGTTTAGGTCTAAGGCCAGCAACTATTCAGGTTGTCCTTGAACATGAAGCTAAATTGTTGTGATATGGTATCTGATTCTTGTATAATACTATGCTCACGACACAACTGCAGTATGACACATTTTCAGCACTGTGATAACAAGCACTGTCAAGGGTGGATTTAGAGGGATGTGTGTGTATTTGTGTAACCACCTTCAAAAGAATACATTATCACTGATAGGTAAATTTTGCCAGAATAGATTATTTGTATTTGTCTAGTTTTGTTACAATAACTTCATTTGCCACCACAATTTCACCGTAGTACTTTATTGCATATATACTAGGACAATTGTAGAAATTGTGTTAAAAGCTGTATCCAACCATGACCGTGCACTGTGATATTTATCAGTATGCAAGTTGCAATGCAAAGTAATGAAACTGATGCATTAACTGCATCCTACAATGTATCGCTGTGCATTCCTATGGGGATTCTGGGGAAGAAAAGTTCCCTGGCCAACCTTTTCACAAAGCGACTAAACATATTGTTTGGTTAGGATTGGTGACTTGGTTGAGTACATGTAATTCTACCAAGATGCTGTTCATGATATCAACCTCTGGTTTGTCGGTCAAGACTCTTGTTTACAGGCCTCCCAAAACAATCTATTTTGTAAAGAACAAACCTTATGTTACCTTGACATATACACTGATATTTCATGAATACAGTGTGCACATCTGCTGCAATATGTTATTCCTGTTTAATGTATGTGTATAATTGCATTATAAAGCTCATTATGATGCATGGTAACAGCTTTATATGAATACGTTGAGCACAGGTGCATGCTGGTATAGGATGACAATCAGACATACCTTCACTCATGCAGACACTCTACACAGTAGTTCAAACTAGTGTCTGTATAGTGGCAACATACTGCCATGTAGTTGCTTGTATTCAATATCTGTCCAGACAGATTATTCATTTCTTTGCATTTCTAGTAGATATACATGTAATTGACTGTTCAGGTAAATTGTAGACTGGGAGATGTAAAAATATCTCTGAGAAATGTAAAAATACTGTATCAACACAGTGATAGTATTTGTTTTTGAGGTCATTCCTTATATATCAGGTCATTTTAAATGTGATATTTTATTCAAGCATAGTACAAGTATAGACAAAAGATTAGACATACCTCATTGTAAGACAGTACATAGGGCTAACAGTTGAATTGAATAAGTTTAACATATTTTGTTCAAACAGAAAGGTGACTTCTGTCTTGATGGTTTATTACTTAAGGTGTATAGTCAGTCTTTCTGCAGCTCATGGATAGAGCAACCTGTTAACACTCATAAATGAGGTGTCAATCCTTCCTAGTTTGAATTGCAGAAACTGAGGAGGAACCTGAGGATATATGTGAGTTTAGCAGTGGTAGCAGAGGACCTTTTTTCATTATTTGCTGAAATTCTGCATGATATACGTTGTACAATAGTCATTTGGTGTTCACATGGATGAACCCAATACATGAGTTAGTGCCATGGTACATTAGAGGATGAGGTTCAGCAACTTCATCACAAGTACACTTTTTAGATTGAGGTAAAGGTAACTGGCCAAGTATTGTAGAAGTTGCATGGTTCAGTTTAGTAACAGTGTTGCTCAGGTCAAACCCGAGTTGTAGAGATATAAGTTGTGAGTCCAGTAATACAGTTTCACCTAGAGTTAGAGCATTAGCTGAGTCCTTTCTCAGCATCACGATTATCCAACATGCCTGTGGGCTGTGACAAGCAGTATGTTTACAGTCCAGAGATGCTGTTCTTGACTAAGATCAAGAGACAAAGTCTCTTGCATTTTTATACTTTTTGCTTTTGTTGAGCTATAGTGGGTAAAGATTTGCTGCCTAAATCACCAGTACATTTTTTTTAGTGCTAGATTATAAGCTAAGCATTAGACAAACGAAAGACTTGTGTTAAAACACTGTTCAGAGTTGACCACTTCTATGTCTATGGAGTACACAACTAAGGATTCAAGATTATGTTTTCATAAGAATTTGTGGTAAAGTAGGGATACAGAGAAAGAACAGCTGGTAGATCATGAGGATTTTGCCATTCTGTGAAGGAAAAAAATGCATATGATTTATGTTAAACTGTTTTCCTCTGAACTGGATGGGCACAAAAGGGAACAAGTATGAATAGAACAATGTTGGTTGAGAGAAATTGACATCATGGTAAACCAACTCTCAGGTGTGACCTGATTAACTACATTATATGGAGTGATGTCTCAATACATTGAACAGGTCTATGTAATATAAGTGTAAAGGCCCATACCTGATGGGGCACGACAATAGATTTAGATCTATTTCATGCCTTTAATTTAACAGAGCAGCATAGTAACTGTTATTGCTTGTAAAATAAGTTGTCCAGCTACACTAATTCAGGCTGCTGAATAGACATAGCCACACACAAGCTTCATGTGTGATCTCTAACATCACTGCAATAGTAATAAAATCGATACAGTTGATGTCAGGTTACCTCATTTGTGATGGTAATTTGTCTCCATTTTGTAAAAATACATTTCCATATCAATGATCAAAGCTTCAGGCCCATATTATTAACTGGATTAAATTCAGTCATTAATTTTCCTTTTTGTTTTCAAAGCAAATGTATTACCTGAACTAAAGCACAGTTTTCTTCACAGGTTGAAGGACAAGATATGAAGATGAATGTATTTATTTCATATGAAAAGATTTTTCTGCTCACTATATAACATAGCACATCTGTCTGGTGGTGACTATGAAAACACACTAATCTATTTTTCTTTCTTGTGCCCAGCTGCCAGTGAACAGGCTGTCAGCGAGGGAGGGGATGCTGCCCAGGCTGCAGAGGGGGAGGGAGAGGATGATCACAAGGTAAGTGAACTCACTAGTTGGATTTGTTGATGGCTGCACAGATTTCATGTCAGGCTGAGGTCAGGTCTTTTGTGAACCTTCAAAAGATTTCATGGAGTTATTTAAGTAACTTTGCAAAGTCATATCAGTAAGTAGACATCATATACTGTCTAAGAAGTTGGATAGTAAATGAGCCTGTGTTTGTTATTGTTTGCTGTTTGTAATGTTTTGGAAAGACACATTTACCGGTATTACGAAGAGTCAGTTGGTCTTACTGTCTTATTGTCAGAGTTTCCTTTATTATGAACTGAAAACAAGGAACGGTATTATTTAGGCTAAATGGTATTCATGTTTCCAATGAACATGACATTGAGTTTGTTTTGATGCTGTACTGTAAGACCTTCAATTTCATGTCTAGTAAACCCAAATGACAAACCAGGCCTATCCATCTTTCAGGCTAAGGATGAAGGTGCAGAGGAGGCAGCGACATCTGGTGGAGATAAGAAGCTGACCAATCAGTTTAACTACAGTGAGCGTGCTTCCCAAACCTACAACAACCCATACAGGGTGAGTGCAACACAATGAACCTCCTGGGATGTGTATAATTATAATGTAAAATGTCTCATGTTAACATCCATGGATTGTTCTGTTGTTTAGAGTGAATGATAATGTACTGTTTAGTACTATTTTAGATGAGACTGATGGCTGCTGCTGCAAAGTATATGATACTGAAAGAAGTAAAACATACTTTCACAGGAATTTACTGTGAGTCCTGTATTTGAGGGTCCCTGGGACTGATACTCCTCATTTTCAGGGGTCCTGGACTACAAAATGGCCGTCCCAGACACTTAAATATTATTATTAATACTATGTTGTAATATTGTTGTAATTCAGTTACTGTTATTGTATTGTGTATCATGTTCATCACATTGTTACAGTAATTAAATTGCAAATGATACCTGCCTAGATGCAGACTCAGTGATAACTTATTGTTACTTGATCAAATTTTTTACAAAAAGTATTTGGAATTTTTCTGCGTCCCTGTGGACGTACTAATCAATTTCGTTTCGTCCACTGTCCATTTTTATGCGTATAAGACGTATGAATTTGCGTCCCGTAAATCCCTGCTTTCATGACCACACAGTGATTCCAAGGTAGAATAGATTTCTAGTAGTTCTTGCGTTGTTGGCATTTTGACTGCCTAGTTTTGACTGTTAATCAGTTGAAAGTGTTGTTTGATGTGATGTGTGTCGGTGATGCAGGAACGAGGAACAGCAACTGAGCCCCCACCGCGTGTCACCTTCTCCTCCAACGTGACACAGTGGGAGATATATGATGCCTACCAGGAGGACTTTGAGAAACAGGTGAGCATCAGGGAACTATGCCACAGTAATTATTCAACCTGACAACTGTCTCACCTCAGGCACCTCCCTGTGTGAAGATTTGTCAGGTGTACAGTGAGTAAACTTTGACTGATGGAGTTAACTGGAGGATGCATGGGTTCATGTTCTAACCAGATATCAGCTAATGTAATTATTTACTACCTCCGATTGGACAATTTCAGTCTGAGTGAAAACAAACCGGCATAGAACACAAAGACAATACTTGATAGTACTCCCCTTTGAATATAGATGCTTTTGGTCTCAGAGAGGACAGGTTTAAGAAATTATCAATATAATAGCATAGTCAGGATAAGTATAACATATCAATTTTACTAAAAAAAGTACATTTTTTTAAATTCAGAACTCTGGGGTCATATGAATTTTCAAAATATGAATACCAGATATCCTTGTGTGAATGGTTCTCTCACTCATGGGGAAAATCTAGAATCTAGAGGATTGACTGATTAGAAGTTCTTACCAGATGTATGGAAGTGTCCTAAGGGATGATTTGTATCTGAGATACAGATCTGATTTTACAGAGACCATACTGTTAACATCAGTCCATGCCTGATATGTCAGAAAAAGTATTCAAGGTATTCTCACTTATACTATGCTCACAGGAGAAGAACAAAGAGAAGAAGGTTGTGCCTGGGAGAAAGGAGGAGGAGAAGACAAGAAAGAAACTTACCATTACAGAAACCCAGGTTAGTGAACATTTCAGCAAGTGAATGTCAAGAAAGTGTATGAAAAACCTTGATTACACATTTTTTCTGTTTGTTGAAAGTGTGTGTTTATAGTAAAATGTTCCCAATAATTTTTCCCCCATGATATACACCTTTTAAATGTTTTTCCTTTTGATATTTATACAAGCATCTTTGTTGATGCTAACAGGTTAACATGTCACAAATGATAATTGAAAGTAATACTTCTCTTTGTCAGAGTGATGACATTTCACGGGTGGCACGTGCTGCAAAGATTGTAGAGAGAATGGTCAACCAGAATACCTACGATGACATAGCTCAAGGTAATGTAAACCATTTATGCATGTCAACTGGAACTGTGTTTGGGGAAAGCGTTTTTCCAAATTCCAAAGAATAACCCTCATCACACTCTGTATTGAAAATTAGTTTGGTTAATGTAGAGAGAGTCCTAATCAAATGTATGGAGATCAAGGTTCAGGATAACAGTTCTCATGTCGTTGTGCTGTTACAGATTTCAAATACTTCGATGACACGTCAGATGAGTACCGAGAACAGGAGGGTACTCTGCTCCCACTGTGGAAGTTCTCTCATGAGAAAGCCAAAAAGCTGGCCGTCACATCTGTCTGCTGGAACCCCAAGTACAAGGACTTGTTTGCTGCTTCCTATGGATCATGTAAGTGTATCATGAAAATTGTTTTGGAATATGAAATAAGACCACCATAGAGCTCTGTTCAGCAGGGTGTTGTCAATAGTTTTTAAGTTCTGAAAGAATCCTTTTAACAGCAGATCTGGTCTGATCAATCTTGAGATAACTGTGGCCAAGAACCCTATTTATTACCCACGTGGTCAACGTATGGGTAGTTGCATACTCATCTTGTACGTCACACGAGTGTCGTATTGCATTGACCTGTGTTGTAACGACTTGACCTGAGATTCTAACGATTTGATTGGATAACCGATGACCTCTCAATTAGGTCACGTTGTGACAGAACTACTTTTTCATTCATAACAAACACGTGAATTCATTCATTCTACAATTTATATGCATTGTGGGAATGTAAACATTGCGGATGTTGCCGTATCGCTGTTTAATTGTGAGTCAAACTGAGACATTATATGTGTCAAAAAACATAAACGCAAAGTTTCAGCCAGTTATGTTAGCCGAGTGAAGCAACTGCAAACTAAGAAACAGGGTGCTACGGAGTAGTTTATGTAGGAGGCTGTACGAGGCGATCACAACCGACATGCATCGTGACGTCGGTTACCAAGGGGGCAGATGAGCAAGGTGTAAGTGACGTGATTACAGTGTGACGTCTTGCAAAAAGTGTACTACACAACAACATTCTTCCACAACCTCTTTATGAAACCGGTTTCGGTTTGAAACCATAAAAATAACAAAAATACGCTATTTTGTCAATTTAATGCATGTAAGACGTGGGTAATAAATAAATACCACACTCAGTCTTATAACATGCGAATTATACGAAACTTTCGCTCGGTCAGATACCATAGGAAGGACACTCGTTTCGTATAATTCATATGTAATGAGACCTCGTGTAGTATTCTCTATTTACTCACCTCATGATATCCTGGTTCTGATCTCTTGATTTTGACATTGGCTTCTAATACATGCAGATGACTTCATGAAGCAGGGCAATGGCATGATCCTGTTTTCTTCCCTGAAGAACCCATCATACCCTGAGACTGTGTTTGAGACAGACAGTGGGGTGATGTGTCTCGATGTACACCCAGAACACCCCTACCAGGTGGCTGCTGGATTCTATGATGGTAGCGTGGCGGTCTTCAATGTAGTAGAGAAAAAAGATGGCCCAGTACATAGATGCACAGCAAAGAATGGCAAACACACAGACCCAGTGTGGCAGGTTGGTACCAGGAGATGTATGGAAGATTGTAAAGCTCTGACCTGAACTATGTTGTAGCTTCTGTTTCATTACAACAATGTGCGCTTTTCAGCAATTTTGTATCCTTAGGTAGACACTCGATTCACTATTGCATCTACCACACTTTTTAGTAAATTTTTCCAAATTATCTCAATCAGAAAGGTTTCTGTGGTACAAAAGACATCAACCATTTTAGATGACATCATACTTTCTCTGATGAAATTATATGGTGACATTAATTTGTGAGTGACAGCTTCAAGGATTAAGGGTATATAATTAATTGACTGAGGAATAGTGTTACAGACATGACATCTGTAGTGACACTGTGTGATGATTTCAGGTGCGCTGGCAGAAGGATGACACTGACAACAACATGAACTTCTACTCCATATCATCAGACGGAAGAATTGTACACTGGACTATAGTGAAGGTAATGTGTCTGATGCTCAGTAACTTTGTCAGAACTCTATTAAAATCAGTTCTATAATGATCATATTGATAAAACCATACTGGTTTCTGTAGTTCCTGCTGTGTTTGTACACTGTAGTGCTCTGTGTTTTAGAATGAGATGGTGTATCAAGATGTCATCACTCTCACCCTCCCAGAGGACCCTGCAGAGGGGCCAGATGGTATCAAGGTGCCCACTGTGGGTAGGTAACATTAGAAAGATGTGACATGCCGCAGCATGTATCAAAGAATATGCACACAGTATACATAGTATACATAGTACATGTGTGAGCTTAGAGTTGAGGTTTAATTACAGCTATCTGAAAATGTTCATTCCTGTAATATTTTGAAAATGTGTGCATCAGACAAGTACAAAGTAATTCTGTTTTCAATCAACATTACTACTTCTAATTGCATAACTATTGTGTGTTCAGGTTGTGGCACAGCATTTGACTTCCACAAGCAGAAGAACTACCTGTTCCTAGTGGGCACAGAGGAGGGCAAGGTCCATGTGTGTTCCAAAGCCTACACCAGCCACTTCATCGACTCCATCGATGCCCACAACATGGCTGTGTACAAGGTGTCATGGAACCACTACCACCCAAAGATCTACGTCACATGTAGTGCCGACTGGAATGTGAAGATCTGGGAGATGGGTGGCAAGGTAGACAAGAACGCTGATGGTTCCGAAGTCGCTTCTAGGTATGTCAGTGATACTCACAAGAAATAACTTACTTTGATCTGATATTTTTTTAAGTATGTTTGAAAAGTTTGCAGTGCAGTTAGTGAGTGATTGAGTGGTGTTTATAAAGCCTGTTAAGCAGAATGTCAGAAATAGCATGACAATACGACACAGAAATGGTCTCAATACAATGTTCACATGAAGGGAATCACAACATGATGTGGGATCATTTTTACCACTAGACCAGTACTTTTAAATGCCAGTGTCAGGTCAATATGATTACCAGTACCCTGTGATTTTTGTGAATACATGTACTGAGATGCATAGAGATGACATTCAGTTTCATCATATGTGATTTCACAGATTGTTATTTTTCCTATCATCCACTGATGTCCATGCATCTTGTTGACAGGCAGACCACGCATATCAGGAATACTGCTGACTGGCATAAAACAAACTTACATGTAGTTATGTAACACCTGATTGCAGTGTTTTCTAAATAATGCAATATAAGACTTCAGACATCCATTTTAGGGTACATGTTTAAACACATACAGTCATGTCATGACAATTATATGATATGGAATTGGTAGATCTGACTTGTATTTCAGGAAACCATTGTTCTCCTTCGATCTGAACAACTCTGTCGGTGATGTTGCATGGGCACCGTACTCCTCAACGGTGTTTGCTGCTGTCACAGCTGATGGGAAGGTACAGCACAAACTTACTTAATCTCTGGGCTTTGAGTCATCACTTTTGAACTTTCTACAGCAATTCTTAAAGTCAAGAATTCTTTTAATTTTCTACAGTAATTCTGCAGATTTCTGAAGAACATCCCTTAGTTACCAGTATATGTAGCTCTTAAAAGGTTGCTTTACCTCAGTATTTCAGATATGGACAGTTTGAATTGTTCAATTATTTACAATTATCACCACATAATCTATTACTGATACTATGTATCAAGAATGTCTAAGTATCATATTGATCAACATTTTACATATCCAAATACGTATAAATATTTACAAAGATTCACAACCAATGGTGCCTTCCTTTTAATGTATATTCACCATGCCTCAATAATCTCAGTGAATGTACGATTATGAGCATGGTTCTCGTCTATAGATTATATAGACTGACTTTGTTTCAGGTGTATGTGTATGATCTGAATGTAAACAAGTACGAGCCACTGTGTGAGCAGATGGTTGCCCAGAAGAAGAAGACGAAGCTGACACATATAGAATTCAACCCAGTGTATCCTATCTTAATTGTTGGAGATGACAGGTCAGTCATTTGAACTAACCTCATTGCTTATAATAGCATTCACAGAGAAATTTCCAAATATGAAGATTTCCTTGTTTATTGACTGTTTGTGTAACCATTCTAATTGTCAATATGTCTTGTTGCAGGGGAAATGTCACGAGTCTAAAATTGTCACCAAACTTGAAGAAGATGCCAAAGGTATGTCTTTAGTATGCTCCTGAATGATGTTGGATTATTTTCCGAGTTGTCAAAGAGAGTTCATTCAACATAAGCATGGGCATTACGTTGAATATTTTTGAGTGAAGTCTAATTTTGGTGCCCTCTTAGCTGATGTTGCTGGATTTCTACTCAGACAAGAGTAAGGCCTACTTACTCAGCCATGAATCTTGTGATACTGTTGGGTGGTGCACATTTCTTATGCATCTTTGTGTGTTTCAGGAGAAGAAGGGGGGCTCCCCCAATGGATGCTGCTCAGAGGACACAATTTGAAATCGCAAAGCTGGATAAGATATTATCTATGGTGCGAGAACCTACTGAACCCAGTGTCACAAATTAAACAATAACCAGTGACTGTCAGGAGGAGATCAGTATTACATACATGGATAAACCATTATGATACAGGGCCTGTCTGGAAGTGCTCATCTACCATCAGGACGCCTGTGAGGATTACAGAGTACTGGACTTCCTATTACTTCCCCGAACGGAATCATTCAGTGTGCATGGTTTAAGAAATGTTATTTATTTAACGTAAAAGCTACAAAGATTCATACATTTAAGGAAATAACATTTTAAATATCTTAAAGATGTTTAAATTAATTGGTTCAAGTATCTATTATAAGAAAAAATGTTATTGAAGTGTATATATGTGAACTCGTAACAACTTAATCCCACAGTTTGAATGATAGTTCAGTTTATATAAAAGCAGCTATTGGGTCAGAAGATTGGATCTTTGTCAGAGAGACCACAACTTGTATGTCCGTCCATATCTATGTCCTTATTTCTATGGTGCTGGATTGACCAGCATTCGCCATTTGTTAACGTATCACTGCTGATGACTGTATTTCAAGCGTATATCTAACTGTGATATGGTCATGTTTTCAACTTTGTTTGAATTATACATATGTATTGTATTTTATTTAAAATTGAGTTTAAACTTGTTAAGACAAATGCTGAATAAATAATTAATAATAATGCTATTTCTTTGTCATATTATGAAGCAAAGAAAGATAGGCTGGATGTCCAAATGAAACATGCCTGTATACTGTTAAAGTATAATGAAACCATAGTTCCTAAATTATGTGGTTGTTAGCTGTAATCAAGATTGGTTGGCTACAACTATTGTTGTGTTGTTACATAACTCCCAGCCCACCACTTCACTAATTCATAATTTATATTCATGAAATTACTATTATTTTTATGAGAAAAACCTTTTTCTCTTTTTGAAGTTATGATGAATCTCATCAATCTTTTCCCAGGAAGGCAGAATCTATGACAAACACATAAAACTTTATTTGATAATGCTGATGAATATAGTAAAGTAAATTACAGTAAAAAGAGTAGAATCATACTGGGTCTTGGGAATTTGGATATTTGGGATTCTCGACTACGCCTGGTCCAAATTTAAATTCAAGAAAGCCCTTCACATTATTTGGAGCCTTGGCTTCCAAACCAGCAAACTTGATGGTAGATAAGGGTTGTAGGAAATGTTCCGGAAATTCAGTATCTTGTCTGTGAGATTTTAACCAAGTGTATTTAGTCATTGTCCCATTCCTAGAATGAAATGGAAAAATATCCACATGGAGTCTGTTCGTCTCACTATATTGTACTCTATAAAAGTCCCCTTCTATGGCTTTCTCCCACACAAACCCACTCTCATCAACATAAGATCCTTGCATACACTGTCGAAGATAATCACATTTGTTTAAGTCTTCCCTATAAATACCTACATCCACATCATAATCCCATGGAATGATGTCACCAATTCGAGCAGCTCCGAGCAAACTACCCCCTTCCAGCCAAAACCTGGCTTCACAAGACTCAAGTATACTGAACACATGTTTGGCCGTTTCCCGTAGAGCTCGAAGACAGCATGGAGGAGTCCAGCGATTCTCATACAGATATTCTGGCATATCATTGATGACTGTGTCAAAGCATCTAGTTGTGTCTTTAGTACAGCCATACCACTGTCTGCGTCCGCTGTCTTGAATAACCAATTTAAAACCTAGTTGTCGGTACATATATTCTTGTCGATCCTGGCGATTCCGTTTGTGTTGCCAGCGGTTACGAGGGTCAGTCTGGTACAAGTTGGTCAGGGTTGTTAGGTTGTCCGTGTTAACAACTGCTGCTGTCCACTGTTTAATTGCCCCTTGTATGTACAAGGACAAAGGCAAAGGACGTATATATGGCTGAGAAAGCTGAAAGTAACTGTCAGTCTTCATAAACACTGCATGATCCCCAAGAACATTGTTACATGCTTCGTCCGAGGGTTTGGGAAGCACATATTCTAGTGTCCATGTTTTGAAGTTCACCATAACTGGACTGCAGAATGTTTGGGAATTCTTAAATGGAATTGCTATGATTTTGGCAGAATGATTTTTAAGAATTTTCACCAGTTGATTGAATATTGTCACATCTGTTATAGATGTCGAGTCAGGCACAATCATCACATACTTTGTTTTGATGAAAGATTCTGGTCTTGAGGAGGACATATTATGCCAGATATTACCAGAAAGAGAAACAAACTGGAATCTCTCTTTCACAATAGCTCCCGTCTGTAAGGGAGGGTATGGATTCTTATCCCCAATAACTACAACATTAATTTGGTTGAAGGTTTTCTGTATATTTACAATTGAATTTACAAGGTCATTCTCAAATTCCTCGTATTCCCTGATGATGACAGTGACGTCAGATTCAGCTGACGGATGAACTTGACTGATGCTCAGCTGTTCATTATGAAATGGACGTAGGGTAGTCCTCTTGACTCTGGTGCTGGTGTCTGTCTGTGTGTGCTGTATGAATGCCAGATACACAAGTATCACCAGGTTCACCATCAGTGCAGCCACCAGGTATGATCGACAACGATTCACACGGCACGCCATTTTCAGTTTCATGGTATACCTACTGATCTGTCAACTGAAAAAGAATGAAATTAATTGTCATTCTATCATCTAAGGACAGAATATCTGTATTTGCTGAATCACAGAATCTTTCTGAAAATGTCAGAACTAATTGGAGGGCAAAAATAAATTGAGCATTGTGTTAGTTGCACAAGATCTTTTTTAAAATCTAATTGGAAAACATTTTTTTCACAAGACCACTGAAAACAGTAAGGAGAAGGCCAAGATGTGAGAGGCTGATTTATTCATGATGTTTTTCCATTTTAATGCTTATGAATTACAATCCAAATTAGCAAATAGCCTGAGGTTTGCAATGCCCAGATAGTTTTCCTACAATTTGATATGAGATGAGATGATATTGTATATTAACCCAGATCTGTTCATATCCGTCAGTACAGAGCTGATGCTGTAATTACAAGTAGTTCAGTTACATCATGCCATGTCAGAAAGATCTTTGGAGAGATTTTAGAAGCTGTAGTAACACCAAAGACTTGCTTGATAAGGTAACAGCATCACTACTGAAACACCACATCAAAAGAAAAACACAATCTGAATTGCACTGATCAACCTTTTCTTTCAGGCTGCTTTTGATGAAGCATGAGCTATAAATGTCAGTTTTAGTATTTTACACTCATCTAGCAACTTCTGAAATCTGTGCATATAAAACAATGATATCTTCATTTCGATAAATTTGTTTCATCCAAATTCTCTATAACGCATGGTTCAACGCACCACCAACATCTAAAGGAAATGTGGAAACGTGTATTAGGCCTGCATGCGTGTACACGAACATTACCGTAACATTACTCTGAAGGATTTTACAACAACTTCATCTATTTTCCGAGGTTCAAGGCTGGCAGTCATGTTTGCGATCCAACCGCTTCGTTGGTATACATCAACACATTGTCAATTCTCAAATGTTCAGATGGGGACAGTTTGCACACGACAACGTAAGGCAGATGTTGAAGCAACCGGGAATAGAAACAGTACACATGAAACATTCGTAGCTGGACAACTTGTTATGACGACAAAGGTATTGGTTGTACTTATATATTGGCAAAACAATTCCTACAAGTATTGGCCAATGGATTCATGTTAACTTAAATCTTCGCACAGGGGTTCGAATCGGGGAACTATTTTTTAAGTCAAATGGGCCGAAGGACAAAAGGGCCGTGAAGTGCCAAGTCAAAAGGGCCGATGGAAAAAGTCAAAAGGACCGAGGTGAAAGTCAAATGGGCCGTGACAATAAGTCAAAAGGGCCTTATACCTAGTCATAAGGGCCGAACAGAAAAAAAAGTTTAGAAAGGTTTTACATTATTTATTGACACATATAGCATTGAAACATAATATCATCATAACATTAATAAAATGGTAATGGCATGGTAATAGCCAAGCATGTAGCCAAGTTTTCATGTAATGGCAATACATATAGTTCATAATATGCTTAATTAACACAACTTCACATAATTAACAAAAATAAATATAATGGTAATTTACACTAGTTCATTCGTTCATAATGTACACAAGTTCATAATTTACACACTGTTCACTCGTTCATAATTCACACACGTTCATTCAAACACACTTGGGGCATATACTGTGGAACACATTGTCAGAAGCGCAGTTGGACTGAGCTGTCCCTCTTTGTACAGCCACCAAGCAGCAAAGATTTCAGACTGGTCAGCAGATGCCGACTTCTTCACAAATCTTGGGAGTTTTCCATCGCCCTCATCTTCAACTGACGGAAGACCGGTCTGATGTGTGCCGATGGAAGAAACGCCAAAGCCATCAGCTTTCTGATGAATTTGTGAACTGCGTTGTTCTCGCGATACGCTCTCTAGAAAACTTACAACAACAACAAAAACAAACATCCCATACGGATTAGTCATGACACTGAGTCAAGGCACTTCACAATGAAAACATTTGAGTCTCGTGCATATTCAAATTCCATTAAAAATAACAACAAACTAAACACTATTTTACTATTTAATTTATTAAATTTTTATTTCCCTAGGGCCCTTTTTTCGCCCTTTTTGACTTCTCATTTCGGCCCATTTGACTTTTAACCTCGGCCCTTTTGTCCTTCGGTCCTTTTGACTACAACCCTTCGAATCACTGTTTGGATTTTATGTAATGAGTGTAGCGGTAGGATTTTCTTAAAAATTCATTTCTTCTCCGATCTCGTTCAAATTTGAAATAAAGGTTAATCATAACATATAAAAACACTATACGACTGCAAAAGTCTAGATTTTTATTTTAAAAAATTATTGTCCAAACAGTGATCCAAACCCCTGTGGATCTACATGTGTCCAAATTCGGACACTATTATTTAGGTTGCTAAAATAACGGTTTTGGCCACAAATCAATTTCTTTATATAAAAATAACATAATCCTAGAAAGAAAATAATTTATGGCTTGGGTGTGAGGTGTGAGATGATGATTGGGGGCATACAATTTAACTTTATGGTGACACCTTATTGTACAGAGCGACGTTTCGATGTAGATTCTTACCATAGGCTGACTCTGATATGTTTATAAGTATGACCTATATATATCGTATATCTTGTATGTATAGGTCATACTTATAAACATATCAGAGTCAAGCGCCTATGATTCTTACACCGTTATTAAATTGCGAACTTATTACAGAAGAGCTTCATTGGTCTAGAGGAATAGACTACATTACTAATATTAGAGTACAGTTACAGGTTTGTCTAAAACATTACTTTTTCAAGTCGGTTTATCAATTTTGCCTACTGCTGAATATTCAGATATGAAACTTTTGCAGATGATGAGAGATATCGTATTGGGAAATATTACAGAAGAAATTTTAAGAATATATCAATGACAGAAATAAACAAAAAGGGAATTCCTAACCGTAAATTTAAGCAGACAACTTTTATATCTCACCAGACGCGGAAGCGCGAAAGTCAAAAATGGAAGACGGGGATCCAGAAATATGTAGCGATGGGGCGGATGCTGCCAGCTGTATAACAACCGACTCAAGTGAAAACAGACCTGATCCACTGCCAGAAGGTCGTCACATGATTCACTTACGTCAGGCACTGGAGAAGACTGTAAAAAAATGTCTGTCTTCAGTTAGGTAAGCCAAAGTACAGTTGTTTACAAACAAGCAACGGGATTTTCTCATTGATTTGTTATTGTTTTTGTTCTGTATTTTAATTTAAACATAATGATCGTATGAATGTAAAGTGCACTACTCCTTGATTCCCGAAAATATTTTTTCGACCGACAAACTTGCAGACCAGACCAGACAATTCCTTACATTACCAGTTGAGTCTAATCTTAATTTTCCACAAACCCTAATGATTTTAAAAACACATCATGTGCAGGACTGAACCATGTACTGATTTCCATAAACCAGGAGACTGTGTGTTTGTCTACCCAACAGTCCATTGGAATAAACATGGCAGAGACTAGTTCATATGAATAAACTCGTAATTCCAGCCAAGGCCTACATCGAGTTGTCGAGCACACCTTGGTAAAGTGCAAAGTCGTCTAGTTATATGCTGGAGTAGGAAGAGACAGTGTAACTAGGTGAAGTTTGATTACATGTCAGTCGAAATTGGGGGTGATGGCTAGCCTAGTGGTTAAACCGTTCGCTCGTCATGCCAAAGACCCGGGTTTGATTCCCCACATTGATATAATGTGTGAAGCCCATTTCTGGTGTCCCCCACACCGTGATATTGCTGGAAGATTTTTTATAGTGGCATAAAACTAAACTCACTCACTCAGTCAAAATTGTCTGATTAATGATATATCCATTAAACTAAAGAATAGGTGAGATAGTATGGGGAAGGAGGGATGGGGAATGGGCCGAGTGAGATTGGTCAGTGTTGGTCGAGTGACATTGGAATTATGACTGCATTGCTTAACCCGCTGCCCCTCCCCACCTCTCCCTCCTCTTTTTTGTAACTTTTTTCATGACCTGCCTATTGCAAAGTGATTAGAATAGCTGCACACAATGACATGGCAGTACAAAATTCAATATCAGAACAATTAAAGTGGCAGTAAGAAACCTAATAATACTGTTAATAGCAAGATTAGTCCAGCTTTAAAAATAGGCCTAGACTGGATATCCTTGGTGATATGATGATCTTCACACAGATGCTGGTCCGGATGTAATGTATGTTTTAACCAGCTTTCATTTTGTAGATTTGTAAAAGGGAAATGTTTTGATTTGTCTCTTTAACATGTTATTGATAAAGAATTTTCAGTCGGTATGTCTTGCTGACTGCGTGTTACTGGTAGAAGCATGTTCTGTGAAGTCAATTCCCTTCAAGATGCTTCCTTTCCAATGTTCATGCAAACATGACGAATTTGATATGTTTTCAAAAAGATGTCTTAAACTAAAGACTTAGCACAAATAAAAAACAAGTGCAAATTAACTATTTCAAGTGGAATTCTTTTGTGCATTGATCATGTTGATACTGTAAACATAGAAAACCATGTCATTTAAAACAAAAGAATTGACATTTTTAAATGTGTATAATCTTGTATCATCTTTACATATATACACATGTACATGATCTACCATTTTGTTAGTAGAGAACCTAATGGTTTAAAATAGGCAGTAGGGAAGGAACGCTCTACATATTATGTCTGTTACCATGGTTACCGATAACGTCCATATATCATATGTTTTCCAGGTATTCCTCATTCAAGGAACATTTCCAGCCTCTTTATGAGCACAACTCTAAAGCTCTGAGGGGCATCCGGGATCAGATGGTTCAACAGCTGGATTCAAACATCTTTGTAAGAAATGTTGAAATTTGAGAAAATAGTCCAGAGTCCATCAATGACTGGCTCATTTCTGCAAAGAAATACTGAGATTTTTGTAAAAAACATTTGATACATTTACATTTGGTCAGATGTTTCCACATACTGCTTATGTTACTATTTTTTGCCTACATATTGAAAAAAAATAACCCTAGTTCTAAACAAGCCATAAATGTTAAACATTATTAAAACAAGTATTCATTGAAATCAAAATTGTACCTTCTACAAGTCCATAATACCTAAACAGAAGTATCTTTTGTTTCATCTTCAAATTACATGGATTGATAGTGTCTCAAGTACCATGAGTACACTAATTTTTAAATAGAGCTGATTAGAACTCCGGTCTCACATCAGTTGAAGTTAAGCAAGAGTTGGTTGTCCTTGGGACACCATCAGTTTTTTGTCTTTTAACATTACTATTATGGCATGTTAACTGTCATGTTTATTTCAGTTATGTATCACAGTATGTTAATCAGGGATTTATTTAGGATATGAAAATGTATGTTTTTGCCAGGCAAAATAGAGAAAGAATTGTGTTGTTTAAATCTTATTTTTAATGTTCTTGTTTTTGGGCTTTGGAAGTTTTTTTAGATTCAAACTGTGAATTTTCACTGTCATTTACTGCAGACCTTGGGCTGAATATCCATCTTTGAGCAGGCCTAGATAAATCCCTGTTAAAGTAATGAACATTGTGAGGAGCAGCCTGGCTTCATCAGGTTAGATACTGGTCTGATTCAAGGATATTTCACTTATGCTGATTCTCTTTGAAAGGATGAAATCTCAAACATGTTTGAGGAGGAGAATATTCTGCCTCTGATGAATGGCCTGGATGACCTGAAAGAATACCCAGAAAAAGCATGGTAATTATGTGCAGAGTTATATTGCAGTCCTTTTGATCATGGTCTCGAGCATGTTTAGCTTAAGAAGGACATTCACTAGAAATCCTCAATACAAGACCAGTGAATGTAACAGTATGCTCAAAACAATCGAGTCTTGATAGTAGCTTGAGCATGATGAGTAAGCTGCAAAGTACGATATGATAAATTAAATGTACCAGGGTATACACTTGCCATGTTATGGAGACATGATACAGGAAAGGAAAAAACCAGTGAATTGGACTTAGATGGGGAAAATTGATATGCTAGGGAAAACTGTGTTCTTGTGTTTGTCAGAGTACTACTTAGTCAAGTTAATAAAGTCATTTCGGAGTTTGTCACTAAATATAGTAATATTGCTATTTGTCATTGCCAATATCAGTCATTTTCAAGTTAATTTGTATGATATCTTGTTTTATGTCAAGGAACATTGGTAGAAGGAGGATGTTAATCACTTAATGTATTGTGTTTTTGCATTAAGAATGATCAGTTTAATAGAGATGTGTCAGGAAATTTTATGCTCAGGCCGCTATGGCTACCTTGTCTCCATGGTGTAGTGGATAGAGCAGATGGCTGGTGGTTTAATCCCCCTCCGCATCATACAAGAACATGCTAAGAGATGATACTTGGTGCTTCCCGGCCAGGCTCTTACTCTTAGCGTTACAGGCATAAGCAAGCCCTGGCTGGAGCCAGTATACTGTCTGGGTGGAGTGTCCATGTTAAACTGCAGCATGGTATCTCAGTTGGCAGGCTCAATGAAACTGCATTTGAAAACTTTATTAATGGATGTCATGACCTTCTTGATCTTTATCCATATTAATGTTGTGAAGAAACTTGTTACAAAGCAGAAGGTGAATGTTTGACAATATTGTGCATCTGTGAGAGTGTTGGTGTTCCAATGATAAAAAATAATCGAAAATTGTTCGAAAGAAGGATTAAAAATAATTATTGATTGTAAAAAAACATATTTTCGATTAATTTGAATTTTGTTGCTTTAGTATAACACACTTGAATGAAGTAAACTAGCCATTAAAATTGACGGACATTCACGAACAAACATGGCGCTCAACAGTGTAAAGCTATGCGCATAGTAGTCATAGCCTCAGGATACTCATGAATGATGATATATATATTCAATGATATAGAATAGAATAATCAAGCAATTAAAAGATGATAGTAAGCATTGTAACAATTTAACCACTTTTATGGTTTAATTACACTTCCTGTGTCTTTCTTGCATGCATGCATTTCATTGCATGACAATATTAGTTATTAAAAAAAACATTAATTAAAAAATTGCCCAGGGGAAAACGCTTAAAATTGGTGATTACATTCAAAATGTATACATTTTGATTATAATCGATAATCATTCACCACAAGTCCTCCGATAATCGATAATGGATTTGGTTTCCGATTCCCAACACTATGTAGGAGACCAAGTGGAGATCCAAATGTTGATGTACGTGCCCATGTCGTGCCTGGGCACATAAAGCACCGGGAGCAGCTGGCGGCCATGTTGAAGGAGCTGGAGTCCAGGAACCGGATGTTGCAGGAGACAGTCAGGGCACGCCAGGAGAAACTGTATTCTACACGTGAACAAGTGGAGCAGATGTGTGGCGTGTGGCAGAAGGTAATGAATTGTCTAAAGTGCAGCAGTTTGCTGTACAGAGTTGCATGCCTTACCAGTGCGAGATCTAGTGAATCCCATATTTCAGCATGGTTATAAGCTGATAATCATGGTCAGTTCACATTTCTCCAGGCCCTTGCTGTGATATTGCTGTAATATTGCTTAAATTAGCTCAAAACTCACTCACTCATATTTCTCCAAGATAATAATCTAACAGTAATTTTGCATCACTTCAGGCATCTGTCTGCTCCAGGATTGTCTTCCATACAATTTCAATTTTGATTTCCAGACTCCACTATTTACAAACCGCATCACATAGCGGGATATTCGCAGTGACTCATTAAACCATCAAACAAACAAAACACACTTATCCTCTGCCGTTCTGTTTGTCTTTGAAAGAGGATTTCATCTGTCTTTTCATCTTTGAAAAGTAAGTATTAATTACATGGCTTTTACATTTTCCAGTCTGAGGAAGCACTATCTACTGAGACTATTGAAGCCCTGGAGGAATTTGTGAGGATATATTCCTGAGAGCAGTGGCCTTGTTTTGATATATCTTCATCAATAAGTGATCATCACTTCCTGGACCAAGATGAACTATTAAAAACAACACAGTTGGGATGAATATCACTAGTGTTATGTCTAATCGACTTTTGGTTGAACATAATGACATTTCATGGTCGGAGTTGCTTCCCTTACTTGCCAGGATGTTAATATATATATATTTGTTTCGAAACCATTAATGGCTTGAAGAATAATGAATAACACTTGACACATATTTTATAAAGTGATGTGAGTTATTGGACAAGATAAGAAGACAAAATGGTAATGGGTCAAGTCATGTTTCTTAATAATATTAGTAAAATATAGGCATTAACCCAGTATTTATGAAATACCTGATCAGCTATATACAAATATAACTGACACAGTGCTACATGTGGTGTCAAGGTCAACTGTTTCTGTGGAGAATAGGTCTGTTTCAGCTCCGCTCTGTTGGCTCTCAATGAGGATGTTTGCTTTTGTGTTTTCAAACATAAATACGTCCTAAATTCCTATCTTTGTTGTATATAGTATGTGATGGCAATATTCCCAACATAGGGTCGCTTGGTTTTAGGGACAAGCAGCAGGCATGGTTTTGGATGGAGGGAGACTTTATTCTCGTAAGATCTACCCCGAACCCCATTTACAACACATCACTATTAGCTGGTCTACCATCAAGAACTTTATTACTCAAGGAACCACCAGCGGTGGTACATAAGTTACATTTTGCACATAGTTATATAGAAATTACAGCAAGATGGCAGACACAACATTCAGAAATCTTGACAGTTTTTTCAGGACATGTATCTTATTATTCCCAAGTTGCTTATATTTTGACATGCTAGGCCATTTATAATAATAATCACTGATAAAAGAAGAACGTTCATTCGCCAGTGCTTTACATCTAAATAAATAGTGGAATTCGTCGCCAAATTGTTGAGAGTTACACAATGTACAAAATCTCTCTTCACGAGGAATGTTCGACCAACGACCCTGTTCTATAGGCAATTTGTGATTATTTGTTCTAAAATATAGTAATGGTTTATAAATGTTATCTGGGAGTAATAAATATTTTTCAAAACATGGTCTGTCTTTAATAATGGAATAATAGAAACCTTTCGGGAATCCTGAATGACACTTCTCCAAGACTACAAAAACTGGTCCTTTAAAATTAGAACCACTTTGCAGTTAACCATTCTTTTGAAAAGATGTGGATATTCAAAACCACAATTTTTTGAAAATATCTTTGATGTAATTTAACCAAGGATAAGAATGGCCATGTGTACGTTTACCCATCATGTAATTTAGCATAAATGAGGCAATTTTATTGTTAGGATTAGGACATGATAACTTGCACCAGTATGCTATAGCACGTTTATCTATTTGTATGCGTAAGGGTTCTCTCCCAAATTCACCGTAAACCATATAGTTGGGTGTTGACATCTTCAGACCTGCCGCAAGCTTTAGAAATTTCAAGTGTACACGTTCAATTACATTAGTGTTCTGAAACCCCAGATTTCACAACCGTAAAGTAAGACCGGAAGAACAACTTTATCGAAAGAAGAGATAAGACAATCCAAAGGGAAATGTAAATTTCTCGCTCGTTTTAATAAAGGCATTGAGGCTTTATTACCCATATCTGCAGCATCTTTGATGGCGGTAATCATTCTTCCGTTTCTATGAAATGTTATTCCTAGGTACTTAAAGGTATCAACACTTTCCAGGTGGCAATGGTTATAGAGGAATTTGTTCTATTTTTGCCCGCTGAACCCGATCCAAATATAAGTATTTTAGTTTTATCTGAGTTAACTTCAAGTATCCAGAAATCACAATAACGTGAAAACCAATCAAGCTCAGTCTGCAGATGGTAGTTACTTTCGGATAAAAGTACAGTGTCATCACCATATGGCAATACTAAACGTTTAAGGTGGATGGTCAAGTGATCGTTATCGTATTCTAGCTTCAGACCATCACACCGATTACAAGTTAGATATTCTTCAAGGTCATTAAGATACAATGAGAAAAGAAGAGGAGAGTTTGTGATAGTGAATCGAATCCTTAATTGGCGATCTGAATGAATGTTAACTGCTGCTATACAGGGTACCAAATAGTTACCATTTCCGTGCTAGATACAACAGCAGGCTTGTCATCCTGGGAAATATTATCGACTCATATTACCAACTCACTTCTTCTATACTTTGTCTTACCCGATAGAACACTTTTCTGACTTAGGCGCTGTCAAATGTCCTACCCCTAATGGTCTAGTTTGCTACCCCGAATGATCTTGTTTCCAAGGTAGTCAAATGTCCTACCCCTAATGGTCTAGTTTGCTACCCCGAATGATCTTGTTTCCAAGGTAACATCATCTACAATTCAGTCAGTCACCTCATTCACTCATATCAGTTATCGATCAGGGTTCCTTGAGTGTCTTATAAAACACGTTATAGCTTTGAAAGGAAAAGCTGTAACAAAGGTCATAGTGAAAGCTGCCCTCACAAAGTTAGTGTCAATGTATTCTTTGTTAAACGAAATTAAGAAATACAATCTTTCTTTCCGCGTCCCCAGTCGGACCCGAAATCGATTTGCTGATAAAAGGATTAGGTCAATCAACTCTAAAGACGAAGTCTTACTCCAAACATACACAGAACGGTGCGTGCGTGCGTATGCGCTCCTCAGCAGCCAGAACCAAAACAAAGATGTCAGAAACAGGCGTTGCAACGTCTGTCCTTGGCCCTGGAACGAGGATTCATTAAAATACCTTCTCAACGATGTTCTTGGACACGTGTAGATCAGGGTTAGAACTGGTCTTCAGTAAACCATGTTTGTCATAAGTGGCGACTAACGGGATCGGGTGGTCAGGCACGCTGGCTTGGTTGCCACATGTCATCGTATCCCAGTTGAGTAGATCGATGCTCATGCTGTTGCTCACTGGATTGTCTGGTCAAGACTCGATTATTTTACAGACCGCAGCCATATAGCTGGAATATTGCTGAGTGGCGTTAACCAACCAACCACGACGTTCTTCAGGCGTCACCTCGCCCTGAGCCGTCCATTGACGTCAGTTGTACAGTATCTACAGCGCAGCCAATTCAGTAAGCACTCGACTTCATGGCTTGCGAGCGTTAATGGTGGAAACATTTATTTTGTGTCAACTTATACGGCAGAAAACACCTGAAATCACAATGAGACTAAACATCGGCTATTGTCTTTTGTCAATGTAACCCTAATGTCGAACAAAGGTTCAGCCGCTCCAGATATTTGCGTCAACATATAAAAGCTTTCGAAGTACAATCGAGCATGATCTTTCTGTGAAGATTTCATTAGCACCGTGCAACTTTTGCTATAGTGTTGTTTGATCAGAGCTTCTACACTCAAGACCCCAGCAAAACTTGCAAAACGTTTTACGGTATGCAGTTCTAATTTGACTGGTAATTGACAATAATGATGTCCGAATCGAACAACAGACCCAAGCTTTTAGTGTAGCATCTTTAAGGTTATGGAAATGGTATTTGTCGTTGACTAAGTCGTGGAATGTTTAGTGTCTGACACCGAAACGAAATTGATAAAACCCCATAATTACAGATCCTATCTATTGTGCTTGAGAGTTAGGATAGGCCACACTGGACAGAAAGTATGTGAATTATTGAACCATAAACAACACCTGTTTTCATTTATCGTGGGCAAACCCCCTGTATCGTCCCATAGCGTGAAGATGCAGGTTAAATGGATAGAGCAAGTAAGCCCTGTTCCATTTTCAATTCATGTTGTCGTATCTTACTTATTGAATTTAAACACACCTCAATTAAACCCAGATTAGGCTTAAAATCGGCATAAAATTCATAAAAGTAATGAAAGTTTGTCTGTCGTCATGCGTCCTCATTCTTTAATATATACTAGGCACATAAAGAAACTGTGCATACAAAAATTTAAAATCTAAATTTATCAAACCTATGTAGACACATAAGGATAAGGATAAGGTATCCAACATGCATGCACGTGCCACGTTCCGTGACGTCAGTGGGTTCGTCCTTGAGACGTGCAATACGTTGTTGCACGTGCATTCCGGGAAAGAGAAACAGAGCAAATGAATGCAACACAATACTGTCACTGTGGAAAGCTCAACCCCTGCCCTTGCGATCGTTCAAAAAATTAAACGGTTATTGAAACGCATAGCATGCGAAGGCTCACGTCTGCACAACGTCATGAGGCCATTGGGATGGTCCGTGGGGGAATGTCTCAACGACAAGTGGCTGTACATTTCCACTGCCACCGGAACACCATTTCTGCATTGGTGAGACGCTACCAGAACACAAATGACGTCATCGATCGGCCACGTTCTGGACGTTCACGTGTAACAACGCTAAGACAGGACAGATGGATAAGGGTGACCCATCTTCGCCACAGGTTTTAGACTGCAGTGATGACTGCCCGAACCATCCGAGGACTTCGCCGTATCCACCCCAACACAGTTCGACAACGTTTACGTCATCACGGGATCAGACCACGACGTCCCGCCATACGGCCTATCCTGATACAACGTCATCGACAAGCTCGCCGAATGTTGTGCCGAAATCATGTCCGAGGACCCTTGTTTTGGTGGAGAAATGTTGTTTTTACAGATGAGTCCAGGTTTAACATTTCCCATAGTGATGGACGCCAACGTGCCTATAGACGCGTGGGAGAACGTTATGCACAGGCCTGTGTCTTGGAGAGGAATCGCTTTGGTGGTGGTTCCGTGATGATTTGGGGTGGAATAACAGCACGCCAAAGAACTCCTTTGGTGATTGTTCAGGGCAACTTAACTGGTGTGGGCTACAGGGATCAGATTCTTCGACCTGTGGCAATTCCTTTTCTGCAACGTCATGGCCCTGGGTTAACATTCCAACAGGACAATGTCCGCCCTCCTACGGCAAGGGTTGCTATGGATTTCTTACAACACCACAGCGTTGACTTACTGCCTTGGCCTGCAAATTCACCGGATCTCTCCCCGATAGAGCATGTTTGGGACGAGATGGATCGACGTCTAAGCCGTCTTCCTCATCCGCCAGATAACGTCCTTGACCTTGCAACAGAACTTGGGAGAATCTGGCGTGACATCCCACAAGCCTTCCTTGCACGTTTGATAGGCTCTATGCGTCGTCGATGCACTGCTGTTCTCAATGCCGATGATGGACATACCCGTTATTGAGCTTGTGACATGGTCGTTTGACCCCTGTCCCGCATGTGGACTCGTGATTTCATTGTGATTGACTTTTCAATTGCAATTCTCCCGACTTGTTATGGTCTCATGATCCCTCCATTAAAGTTTATATGTACCTTTGACATTGTTATCGTACTTATCAACTGGGATAATATTTTGACAATGCGCAGTTTCTTTATGTGGCTTGTATAATATTTTAAGGCAAAACTATATACTTTAATACACTACGCGTTGAGGTGGAGTAAACATTATGTCCTGATGTCACTATTGTATGTAATCGTGTAACCTACACGCAAGGTTTGTACTTGAAATG